GCCCGAGCGCTGCCGCTGCTCGACCCCGGCTCAGCTGCCTGCGCGCTCGCAAAACTCCCCGCAGTCGTGTAGCGCTGGCTGCGGGGGGGCTGCCTGCCCCCGCCCTGACGCCCGCGGAGAGGCGCGTAAGTCGGTGTCAGGTGCATTTCCTGCCCCGCGGCTCTCCCGGGCTGTGCCCCCTCCCCTGCTGCTCCCCGATCCCGCCGCAGGCTCGGAGGAGGTGTGTGGTTATCTTGGGAGCTGTGCCCCCGAGTTTTGGGTTTGTGCGTGTCAGTGTTCTTCAGGATGCTCCTGATGGGCTTCCTTTTCCTTTTTTTTTTTTTTTTTAAAGGCATATCTCTAATCTGTTTGACGGTGTGCTTTGGATATATGGCAGATTTTCTTGGTCTTTTTATCTTGTTCCTAACTTGTTTATCTTGTTACTGAGGACAAGAGCTAATGGCCTCAAATTGTGCCAGGGAAGGTTTAGACTGGATATTAGGAAGCATTTCTTTACAGAACGGGTTGTTGGGCGTTGGAATGGGCTGCCCAGGGAGGTGGTGGAGTCCCCATCCCTGGAGGGATTTGAGTCGGGTCGATTTAGCTCTGAGGGATCTGGTGTAGTTGGGAACTGTCAGTGTGAGGTTAATGGTTGGAATGGATGATCTTTTCCAACCTAGTAATTCTGTGATTCTGTAACGCAAAACCCCATGACACCTCAACGTCTTTTCTTACAGAGAGCAGGTCCTCGATGGCTGGGGTGGGGCTGGAGCCTAGTGCTATGGAAGTGCAGTAGCAAAGTAACTTTTGCTAAATTGATGAGATACAGAGCAAAATAAATCAAGTGGGGTGTTAGTACTTTTTATATTTGTTAGTCAGAATCCTGACTCCTCCTTCATTAGTATGAATCACTTTTGTTTATGTGAGAGGTGCTGTGGATACTTCACTGGCTGGAGTGAAATGGCATCAGATGTATAAGTAATCGATAAAAAAGAGCTAATGGCTCACCAAGGAATCTCTGTTGTGCATATATTTTGTCTTCCTTTTTTAAGAAAGATCAGTGAATTTCTCCTTTAATACTTCAAACTCCTACTCAGAAACTGCATAAGGCGATACTAAACTATTTTTTATTTTGGGTCTGTTAGTGGTCAAAGATCTTGGAGAGAAATGAAGCACGTAATTTTTTTTTTTTTTAGAAGATATAATTGCTTGAAGCCTCGCTTCCTCTGCTATTAAATTACAGGCATCAGCAATTCTTGTAGTCAAAAGCCACAGAGGTCACCTGTGGATAATTTCAAATGCTTCTGTAGTAAAGTGAAACCTGAAGGTAACTCTCTGTGGATCCCAACCTATTTTACATTTTTGGTTTGCTTAGTTACTACGTTTCACTCATGACAACAGACTATTTTTTTAGTGTTTCTCATTTATAAAGTGAAAAGTAAGCGTTTATGATATTGGAACAGTAATCTTCATTGTGTGCTGGAAATTACAGTACTGATGGAGAATTCCAGCACTGGATGTATAAAACAATTTTTTCTTTTTCCTCTCAAAGTAAGCTATCTGTTACAATCTGATAATAACAGTGGTACCATAGTTTACATGAGATGTGGCATCTGACTGATGTTTCTTAACCATAGGTGTGAAAGACACCTCACCATTGTCTAGATTGCAGTACAAAACAATTTTTACATCATAGCAGAATTTTAAAATCTATATTTAAGTAAAATCTTACCTGATTATTTATACTGGTTCACTGCTTATTGTTTCAGAGTATCTCATTAGCTGATGAAAAATATGAATTGGAAATAAGATTCTTATTGTTGCTTGCAAGTATCCTGGTTGTGAGAACAATTGTTTTCAATTCCCACCCAGACAACTGGGGTTTATAAACTTTGTGCGGTTAGGTAATACCTTACTGCTTAGGTGCAGCGTAGTTCGAGTCGGAATAAACACTATCTTGCCTTAATATCCAAAATACCTCAAGAAAATATTTTCAGCAAATTACCACACAGAATATTATAGTATTGAAAAGTCCCTGTTCAGCTCTTAAATCTCTGCTGAGAACTAAAATCGAGCCTGATGTTACAATCATTGTACATACACTTGGATTTTAGGACATATTGTATGTGGCCAATTGCCAGTGAAAAATTAAAATTCCTTAGCAATCATTTGAGTGTATCACTGCTGCATATTAGTAAAACTTAAAAGCTGTTCCCTTAGTTAAAGTTTCACTTTGTATTAAGCATCTAATCATAATCTTGTTTAAAAAAAAAAATTAAGATCTGATCGAGAAATCATTGAACAAGTAATTACTCAGATAAGCACTACTGTATTTTAAGCCATTCCTCCTACACTCAAATATTTTCCCCTTTTCTAATGACACATTAGCATTTTTACAAAGATAGCTGGATTTCAGCTGTGGAAAGCAGGGGGTTAGGAAAAGTTCATTTCTGATTTGAATTACATCATCCCCTTTTTATATCCCCTTTATTTGATTTTCATATAAGAAATCTGCCTAAGTTAAAACTATGGATTAATATTTTTACATATCATGCCTATTAATTTTTAGGTGGGTGAGAGATCTATATGTCAGTCACTTTAAGATGTATGTGCATCTATTGTGGTGTGAGTTCTTAAGCAAGTACCAGTAGTTTAAGCAGAAAAGTGTTATGGTTAGTGTTAAAATAACTGTGTTATAATATGCAGATAACTTTGTTACAAGAAAACACAGACGTTGCAGGAAATTCTAGATTCTCTGCTGTTGCCTTTAGATATTGTATATCACGTTGAAATTCAGTAAAGGGTGGAAGACTATCCAGTTAGCAGAAGTTGTTCTGGCAAGAGTAAGAGTGCACTAAGTGTCTTCATGTGCACAGTTTTAAAATTACCATGATGTTGTTCAATTGATGCCATAGGATAGTATATAACTATCTAAAGTTATTTGATTATCACTATCATGTTTGCATTTCAGTAAAATCCACATGCCTCATTCTGAAATACAAGTTGGTTTAGGATACATGGGATAGATACACAGATTCTGAATGATTCTATGTCAACAATCAAATTTGTTCTAAGAGTCCTTTTCTAGTTTGGTTTTACTTTATCCTAAAACATCAAGCAGAATAGAGTTATTTTTCATGACAGAAACTTTTAGGGCCGTAGTAGTTTAACTTAGGTTATTTCAGTGTCACCGTATTATACCAGCAGTGCACACCTGCAGCACAGAGTTGTACTCACTATGAAGAAACAATCCTGATAATGCAGGCCATCAGAAGAAGAGCAGAAATGGAAGAATAAAGTGTGCATGTGGGTTTTTAAACTATGTTGGTGCAAACTCATCATTTTTGGCATTGTTGAATTAAGGTAAACAATGAGAACAGAGTGAGCTGTTCCCAGTACATCAAGAAGAAAGCTTGTATTGGTGTCTGCAGATCTTGGGGAAACTGCACCATGACCTAGTCAGGTTCCGTCAGCTGAAGGGCCCACAGGCTGTATGTAATCAGAGAGAGCTCAGACTTTCTGAGTGTACAAAGGAAGTGTGCGACAAATGTGAGGTTTTGGATCTCTTTCTTCTCAAGTCCAATGAGTGTTCAAAACACCCCATTTAATATAGGCAAAACAGAGCTTATTTTCAACTTTCTTTTTTTTCTTTCAGGAAAGTATGCACGCTTACGCAGCAAATGTCTACACATCTGTTGTAGAAGAGCTAATGAAAGGAAAGCAGCGCAAATTTATTGCTGTGGAGCAGGAATTCTTTCGTCTCTGGTGGGATGCAGTAGCCACAGATAAGCACAAACAGCAGGTAAATTGTACTGGAACCATACTTCCTGCTAACAAAGAATCCATGCACTTTTCAGGGGACAAGGAGGAGCAAAGTACTTCACCATTTGCTTTTTACCCAGGTCTTGTGTAAGCTGTCTCTGAATTCTGGTACGTCTTATGAAAGGACCTTAACTCCAAAGGCAGTTGCAAGAGGTTAAAACCACAGCTATAGATTAGAACGGTAGGAGGTAGTAACCTTTGCACTGAAGATTCTTTACAGTTCTTGTTTCATCAGTGACTTTCTTATTTGGGGGCATGCTAGTATAACATGTGGGTGATTCTGAAAGAGGCTGCACCAATATTTGTTAAACATCTGAAGCTCATGAACTGCTGCCTAACACTGCTCACAGGAAGGAACATTTTTCTCTCCAGTTAAGTACTGCTCAAAAACCTTCCTTGTATAACCAAGGAGAATGCCAACAAAGGTGACTGTAGCTTCAATGGCAGTAACTGGGGTTTGGGTTTGTTTATTTATAAGCTGTGATCCTCTTCCAGTCTTTAGAGCTTTAAACTGAGGATTGTGTTTTTCCTTAACAAAGACATTGTAAAGTTTTGTCATTTCTTCTTTCCTCTGGCATGAAACAAACATACTGAAATCAAAGACTGGGCTGATAGTCTATCAGCTGGTTGTGTGTTACATTGCAGTGCAAGATAAACTTAAGTTTTGGACCCTGAAACCAGAGAATATGCATGTGCAGCTTCCCATGCTCAGAACTTGCTCAGTATTCACTCAGAACTCCATGGTCTGTTTTGTTATCAGGGTCCAGCCCAAAGCAGAATATTACTTGCAAGTACTTTACATTTCAGTTTGTTTAAAGTGCTAGATCTTTAAAGCCTCATGTAAAAAAGACACCTCTTGTCTGTTTGGGTATTTTTTAATCTAGTCATTCACTAAATTCTGAATTTTCTGTAATGTTTAGTATTTAAATAATAGCTTACAACCTGTGTGCAGCTGACCTTTCCATGAGAGATTTTGCTGTGTATAGGTGGTTCACTGTTTTTGGGTGAGTCTTTTGCCCGTGCTTACCTGTCGCAGGAGAATTTTCTTTTCTGTTTTTTAATGAGAAAACTGTACTGAAAGTCTAGGCTGGGGGAACTAATACAAATAGCATAGAAACTACTTTGTGCAAGTACACAAGCGTAACTTTCTAAGGTAAGTTGATCTTATTTCAGGTATGATATGGTGCTGTAACCCAAATATGAAGGGCCATGTCTATTTTAGCTGTTATGTAGAATCCAAAAGAGTAAATGTGCATTACATTTGACCTCAGCAGTATAAAACCAGTACATATGATTCAGCCTTTAATTTCTTAGCCTAATTACTGATAATTGTTGCTTTTATGCATTTTTAGTCAGTTCTCTAGTTACTTTATAGTTGCTTCTCTGAAAATTCAAATTATTACAAACAAATTTCTCTTAAACCTGTGTGTCAAATATTTAATTTCTAATAATATTTAAGAGCTATGATGCTCGCTGATAAGTGGTATGTTTTTAACATTAGCAAGTTGCAAATACTGGGCCTTGAAATTAGGTCACTCTGGTTACTGTCTGCTTTTTCCACTTGAACTCTAGCTTCAATGATTTTATGTACTACAGGCTCTCTGGTTTTAATTTTGTCTCTTTTTTTAATTTAACATTTTACTTGGAATACAGGATTTAATTCTAGTTTCTTGTGGAATGTCTGCTTTGGATTAGAGCAGTAGCATTAAAAATTAGTAAAAGGTACAGCCAAGGTACTGAAGCTGATTTTACAATTCAGACAAGAGAATATATAGGAGTGAATCATATTGCAACAGTATTCAGCCAGGTATGAACCTCTTTAGTTCTCAGTGCATGTTATTTCCACAGTATTTTCTTGTGTGAACAATTCCTATTGCGTTACCCTGGCTTGATGTCTGGATGTTTTAACTAAGGGAATAAAGATGTGTAGCCACTTCTGTCTGGTTTGGAGGTGTAAGTTGATGTAAGGATACTAGTAGTTGTCCCAAGGACCACAGATATGTTCTACTGCCATAACAACCTGCTGCTTGTAGTACTGCCGTGTCTGTTTCCTTCATTCCTCCTTCATTTTGTCCAGTTCTAGTCAGCAAAAGTGCTTGTCATTAGAGATATTGGGGGTTTTGTAGGATCAGATATTATTTCAGTTACTTGAATTATTGTTCTTGGGTTTTCAGTCCCTTGGTGGTTCCACAAAACTTATATTAAAAAAACGTTTCCATGGCCCAAAGAGGTATCCATCCAAATGGGGAATCGTAGCCACAGATGCTTTTCATGTAGGTCAGGACCCGTTCTGTGCTGACACCAGATATCAGTTATCTGGTCTCCCAGCATGCTAATCAGTCACCACAGTTGGCTGGAACTAATTTATGAATGCTGAGCCCTGGAGCGTTTTCACAACATTGTGAAGGAGAGAAATGATTATAATCAAAATTGACAATCTGGCATTGTATCTGAGCAGACACAGGGGCATTCACTGAAGATTCCTGGGGAAATAAGCGTAATGGCTCTGGATCTGGCATCCTACATGACAGATTAAAAAAAATTTGGAGATTAAAATACATATTTATATGAACTTCCTTTGTCATAAGTTTGAGGTATCTTTGAAGTTCTAGGTAGTGAAGTAACTATATAAACAGAAGACTCCCTAACCTTTCTAGAAAGGGACCCAGACTATTACTCCCTCCCTCTAAAAACCACCCCTCGCTTCATCCAGCACATTTGCTGAAAGTTGTATTTGTCAGCATACTTCTTGTTTCTAGTGGCTGGAACTAAAAAAACCCAAAACCCAGAAAAACCTTGAACAGCTGAACAGGTCATAGTTTATTGACAGTTTGTAAACTAGGAAAAAGAGACCAAAAATGAAGATTAGTAGTGGTTTTACCGAGCAGACAAACCTGCTAATGTGGAATAACTATTTCTTAATAAAGTTTTCTGTCTCTCACAAGTTGAGCAACCTGTCTATGCTCTGAAGGCAAGGTAGGTGCGTACAGAGTAGAAGGGATGTGTTTGTGGCCACAATATGATGACATGCTCTCTCCCTCCCTCCTGGATCTCACAGATCTCAGTCTCCGGACTGTTACAGAGGTAGCAGACTAAAGGAAACCCTGGGAGCCTGGCTGTTACATGGGGTTACATGTTGCTCTCTCATCCTGCCACTCACTGACTTCTCTAAGCCAAGGCAGATGCAGCAGGAAGATGTTGGGAGAAGCACTAGTATCTTCTGTTTTAATCCTTCAGTTCTAGTTGCCTTGAGGCAGGATCCTAGGCTGCTGCCAGTGCACTGTATGGGGACAAGTCTAGTGTTTAGATAGTATAAAGGCATGGTAACAGCCCTACTGAGAAACAGCAGAAGGTCGGGGTCTACCTGGCAGTGCATCCTTTGTACCTGCTATCTGGTTTCAGTGTACGATGGGTAAATCAATGCACTGTGCAGCACATTAGTATGCTGGCTTTTTTCCTCTTCTTTTGATACACTCAGTACAGACAGCTTTTATCCCACTTTTGTCCTGGTTGCCTTCTTGACAAGTATTGTGTCTAGGTAATGTGCTGTGATCTGAAATGAATTTGCAGCCTTTTTGAACAAGACTGAAATGATGTTTACGTTCTGGGTCTTAATTTCAATATCATAGGTCCATCAGTTGCTTCAGGAGGGACGACTGGAATTTGTCATTGGAGGACAAGTGATGCATGATGAAGCTGTGACACTAATTGATGATCAAATTTTACAGTTGATGGGTATGCATATTTGCATTTAACTTTTATTTTACATTGTTATGACCTTGGGGATTTTGTTTGTTTTCATTGCTATTATTAGATTATTAAGATTGCTGTTATTTTCTTACTCTTTAAGAATTGATTAAAGCATCTCTTTATTTTTTACTTGCTGGTGGGTTATCTTTGAAAACAAGAAAACATAACAGTTCTGCAGTAAGCAGAAGGGTTACCGAAAGATGGCTTGCAGTTTAATCAGTGTCAGTTGTAAACTCCTTTTTGTCAGTGTGTGTTTGAGAGCTTAAGCTCATGAGAAAATAGTTGTGGTGAAATTGAAGGTATGAAACACTCTGGAAGAAAATACCTGGTAGCAATTCAGAGTGTGGGGAGGTTGTATCATGTAGGCAAAGTCATCTGCGGAACATGAGCCATAGAATATCACGGAGGTCACCTGAACTTAGTTGAAAGACTTGCTTGATGAAGAAACCCCCATTTCTCTGTTAGAAATAGGTGCATATTTCCAAGAGATGCACTATTTCCCGTTTTAATCTTCTAGTGATTTGTATGTTACACCTTCCCATCTGATGGTTTAAGGAGTCTTTTAGTATTTAGGTTTCACAGAATCACAGAATCGTCTAGGTTGGAAAAGACCTTTGGGATCATCCATTCCAACCGTTAACCTCACACTGACAGTTCCCAACTACACCAGATCCCTCAGAGCTAAATCGACCCGACTCAAACCCCTCCAGGGATGGGGACTCCACCACCTCCCTGGGCAGCCCATTCCAACGCCCAACAACCCCTTCTGGAAAGAAATGCTTCCTAATATCCAGTCTAAACCTTCCCTGGTGCGGCTTCAGGCCATTATCTCTTGTCCTATCGCTTATTACTTGATTAAAGAGACTCATCCCCCCTCTCTGCACCCTCCTTTCAGGGAGCTGTAGAGGGCGATGAGGTCTCCCCTCAGCCTCCTCTTCTCCAGATTAAATCCCCCCCGTTCCCTCAGCCGCTTCCCGTACGACCTGTGCTCCAGACCCTGCACCAGCTTCGTTGCCCTTCTCTGGACACGCTCGAGTCATTCAATGTCCTTTTTGTAGTGAGGGGCCCAAAACTGAACACAGGAATCGAGGGGCGGCCTCACCAGTGCCGAGTACAGGGGTCAGATCCCTTCCCTGTCCCTGCTGGCCACGCTATTGCTGACACAAGCCAGGATGCCATTGGCCTTCTTGGCACCCTGGGCACACTGCTGGCTCCTGTTCAGCCAGCTGTCAATCAACCCCCCAGGTCCCTCTCTGACTGGCAGCTCTCCAGCCACTCCTCCCCAAGCCTGTAGCGCTGCTGGGGGTTGTTGTGGCCCAAGGGCAGCCCCATCATTTGGCCTTAGTGAAACTCCTCCAGCTGGGCTCAGCCCATGGCTCCAGCCTGTCCAGGTCTCTCTGCAGCCTCCCTACCCTCGAGCAGATCAACACTCACACCCAACCTGGTGTCATCTGCAAACTGACTGAGGGTGCACTCAAATCCCTTGTGGAGATTTATCTCCATCTGGTTAATGAAAAAAGAAACAGGATAAATCATGCCACTACTGTACTATAGATGCCTATAATATGCCATGAGGGAGTAAGGTGCTTTTTGGGGGCAAGAGGAGATGTATTAGCACCAGCTGTCTGTCATGGCTGATATAAACCCCGCTAATTTCAGGGCTACGCTCTGGGCAGCCTTCTACACAGGAGAGTAAAGGGTCAGAAAACACTTCTATCATTTTCAGAATCTGCACAACACCACTGATACCTGTTCCTTGTTTGTCAGTGTTTATCAGGAGCATAGAGAACAGCTGCTTTTGCATCTCAGTGAGTCATCACATCACACCGGCCAAGAGGAGGAGAGGGGATGAACATTATTTTTCCTTATTCATCTGACTTCTATGTTTAAAGGTTATTCTACAGGTTTAGTGCACTGACCTCAGGACTTCTCCAAAGAAAACACTAATATTGACTGAAGAGTCCTTCTGTTAAATGCAAATATAGCTTTTTCTTTCATTGGAGTTAGTTGCAAAAAACATTATTTCCAATTTAATATTTCATTCTGTGTGTAAACATAATTTAAAAAAAAAATCAAGTTTGGTAATTTATTCAGCAGGAGCAAAAATATTAATATATTTTAACATCCTCATTTATTTTTCCTGAAAGCACTCTGCTCAGTTTGAGTACATACAAACAAAAAAATGTATCCTTGCAATGTGTATGGAGTTTATCTTGAGAAAACAAAGCTAGTGCAGGCATTTGGGGTCTACGTTTTGTATCTTCTCCTGTCTGTCTAGCCAGCTGTGTTTTGGAAGAGCCTAGCAAACTCTGCCTAAAATGTACTTCGGTCAAGAGTTGAAATAAAGACATTGTGAATATTTTCACCAGAGAAGACATTAACCATAGGAAAGATGAAATTAAAAGAGAATGACTTGCAACCTCATGTATTCAAATGTGGTACTAACATTTAGAATGGAGTTAGTCCAAAATTGGGAAGACACGGTTGTATTTTCAAATAGTTCAGAGCACAATTCTAGAACTATGAAATTAAGATTTGCAAATTTTCAGGGGTTTTATTATGAGAATCCTAGTGTTCTGACTAAAATCTACTGTTTAGCTGGTTATTTTGCTTTTGCTTACATGGTTTGTCTGTGTTTATTTCATTGTCTGGTCTTTCTGGTTTGGAGATTTCTTTTCTGAAACTCATTTCAATACAAAATTAATAGCATTGGTTGTAAATAACATCTTGTATCAAGATTGCTATTAACCTTTGGCTTTTTTCTTTTTTTATGATTGAGTATCATATTCATACTAGTTTTGTTTACTGGGTGGCTTGCCTGTCCCTTTGTCATTGATACAAGACTGAAATTTTCTGAGAATGGATGGTATGATTTGAGCAAACACAAACTAAACCCCAGCCTGTTGTTTTCATGCAGACTCTAACCTGGCTATTAGCCTTAACCTAATCTGTATCTAAGTACTTTTTCCCAGGCTGGTCTCTAATCATAATTCCTTTTTGTTACTCATCTCTTATGATGTTAATAAGTTATACTTGGCATAGCAATATAAACATTGTCAGTGTGAAACTGTCTGATGTGAATCATTAAATGCTTTGAAAAATAGCAACAAAGAGCTATCCTTTAAGTGCTTATGTATAATACTATATGCCCATTAAATTTATAAAATGAACTTATAAAAGTGTTCCTAACATAAACAAATTTTGCTTTGCAGAAGGCCATGGATTTTTGTATGAAACCTTTGGGATCAGGCCTCGGTTTTCTTGGCATGTTGATCCTTTTGGAGCTTCAGCTACAACACCAACTCTCTTTGCTCTGTCTGGTTTTAATGCTCATCTTATTTCTCGGATTGACTATGATCTGAAGGCTGACATGCAGAAAAACAAGGTAAAAATACCTGTAGAAATGGAACCCATTGTCAGTCTCTACTTACAGTAATCTAAACCATGACATTAAGATAAGCGTCTCTCTGATCTGTGCAAGAAAATATAGGTATTTCTTCTCTACATGTGACATGCTGATTGTATGTGGTAATGGTGGAATATATTGATAAGGATAAAGTATAGTCTAGCCTGAAGAAGACACGAAATATGGGCAGTTGGGCAACGTGTAAGTTGACACTGAATTAGGAGTGTTGGAAGCATCTAGAATAGGTTTCAGCTTCCCCTGAGAAAATCTCAGCTGTGTTGATTTTTATATAGACTGTTTTAAAGTCTAGTGCATATGTTTGGGCATGGTGGTTGTCATGCTTGGAACATTTATTTGTGCCTGTAAAATTGATAATACTAGATCAGTTAGGGTGGCAGCTAATAACTTTTTTGCTGAATTCATTTTTTGTTTCATGTTCTGCCTTCTCTCACATAGTGTCCCATACAGCAAATGTTTTTCTTTTCATATCACAGTGTTGGATCCTGATCTGTCATCAGTTTTACATACTAAATGATGTGGAAATCAGGGGCTTTTACTAGTATGAGCTGGGTGTTAGGCAGTTTTTATGAATCTTGGGTGAAACTCAAGCGTCTCTGAGAAAGACAACAGAATTCCTGTTGAATTTGGTGAAGCCAAGACCCACCACTTTGTTTGCAATAAATTGCTATACTTCCTTTTTGCTAAAATCTTTTATGAGCTTTTGACAATCTTCTCCCATCTAATTTTTCTTCTGGCACTTGACAGTCTGGAGGCTTCCAAAACTGTAAAAATTCTGTTTCAGTTGATCAAACATTGATTCCCACTGACTGCAGTGTAATCCAGACTACATCTGGGTCTTTCCTAACTTAGTGGTGTTCAACTTTCATTGAAACAAGTGAGGTGTAATGCCTGTGATAAGCTAGGTCTACATCTGAATTTTAGCAGTATGCTGGCAGTGTGCTCCCTCCTCTTCCCCAGCAATTTGAATAGAAAGAGGCAACACTGTAGCCTCTTATATATCATATGCAACCTTGCTTGGGGTGCCATTGGCTGGTCTTAAGTAAAAGTAAAACTTAAGTTTAAGTGGTGGAAAGGAGTACGGGAGCTCTGAAGTCTTGCATTGTTAATGATGGTCTTTCTGTGCTTGTCATCAAGGGTAACGGTTTCTTACCTTTTTTGTTTTCCAGAAGCTTCAGTTTATATGGCAGGGCTCTCCTTCCTTATCTGAAAGACAGGAGATCTTCACCCATGTTATGGATCAGTACAGCTACTGTACCCCGTCACAAATACCTTTTTCAAACAGGTCTGAACTTTTCCCAAATAGGCAGAAATATTGATCACTTCTGAGGGTTTATATTGTTGGAGTTTAAGCGTTTTCTTTGACTGTTTTCTTTCAGCAGTACTCTGCTGCTTTCTCACGACCTGCAGTAGGTCAAGGAGATGTCTAGACTCTGTAGATCTGAGTCACGATTATTAAGCACCCCCATCTACCCACCATAATACACCTAACAATTGAATGCTTAAAAGTGATACTTGCTACTGACAGCCATTTAAAATACTTCATAATATTAACAGACTTTTAAAATAATGTTTTCTAGCACCAAGAGGCTCAGATCACAGGTACTGCTTTCATCTACCTGTATATATCATGTCAGTCCTTATCCAAAAAATATAGAATAAAAATGTGAAAAAAATCCATTGGTGTAAACAGAAAATGTCCAAAGCAGAACTGGGGTTTTGTTTCTCTGCCTGGAAAGTTAAGATTTAAAAACTCTTAAGAAGCTCAGTATGGGCTTGGCTTTTGCTAATCAATTTTCTGTGGGAAACTTTCAGCATTAATTGGGCTGAGATTGTGTATATTATGTGTGTATAAAGTGACTAAAATTTTCCATTTACTTTGTGAAAAAAATCTGAGAGCTTTTGAAAACTCTGTTTTACTCACTGGCTTATCCAGTAAAATAAGCCTTTTTATAAACAAAGTCAACTTGGGGGAACATCCTCATTGTTACAAAGCTTGCTGTTTTGTCCTGTGATTATTCTATGCCAGCAAGCAGTGGGGACTTGGAACGTTGCACAGTGTGAAATTAAAACTGGAAAACCTTCCCCCTACCTCTGCTCCCAAATAAACACTGAAGCCAAAATACTAGCAATTAATATAGACTGGGGTTTTTTAATTTTTTTTTTCCTTATTCCCCATGTTTCTGCATTTTATCCCAGCACCTTTTGATGTTTCCCAGTTGAATAAATCCTGTTTATAGCCTATTGCTTTCTCCTTTTACTTAGATCAGGATTTTATTGGAATGGAATTGCAGCTTTCCCAGATCCACCCAAAGATGGTGTTTATTCAAATATGAGTCTACCTGTTACAGATACTAACATCCATCTGTATGCACAAACCATGGTGGCAAACATTAAGGAGAGAGCAGCCTGGTTCCGAACAAGTGATGTTTTGTGGCCATGGGTAAGTGCGTGATCAGCATTTGCTTTAGAAATACCAAGTACACCTACAGTATGAACAGTAGGTAGATGGTACTTTGCTACAGTATGTGCTGCAAAATTGCAGGTACAAACCATGTCAGCAGCATTCCTTCTGATAAGTGGGGTCCAAATGTCTGATTAAGTAATGAATAGTAATAATTTTTAAAATTAGAACTTCCCTGTACAGTCTGCCAGCTGTCTACCAAGTCTTCCACCCTACTTAATATAGAAAGAAATGACAAAATTGTAAAGATAACCTCTTGTGAAACTGTATATTGCAATATTACTTCCTTTTTTTTTTTCTCTCTCTTTTTGTTTTGTCTATTTAAACAATCTTTTTACATAACTGCTTAGCACAACATAACTCTGTGTTAGCAAAAATGATAGCATTACAAGAAAATGTATTGCGCATTAAGTAGACAAGGTCTTTTGTAACTGATGTGTAATCATTTTCTTATACAGTCTTTGTATTTTAGTTAGAAAAATAAGCATATACCAGCTTGGTCATTCAAACGCTTTTTTCAGCAATATGCTATGTTAATTATATCCTACGTATACATGTAGCGCTGATATGCTCTCACAGTTTTTAAGTCCTTAGTAAAGAATAACTTTGCCTAAACTGAAAGTATGGTCTGGTTTTGAATTTTGATGGATGCTGTAAGTCTCATAATTACAGTATTAAAAGTATGATGTGTGTTCTTAAGGTGGTTATTTCACCACAATATCTGTTGTTGCATCAGTCAGAAAATGTTCTCTTTGCAGCTTTGAATTACTAATTTGTTTTTCTCCTGTGTTTGTGACACTGTTGCTTATATTGAATTTTTTTTTGTAGATGTTGAGGGGAGAAGTGGGATGTAATACTCTGTAGTAGTGCTATAGTGAAAGTTATGGTGAAATGGGGAGGAGGGAGTTCTAAATAGTAAGAGTAAATTCCAAATGTCTAGATCCAAACCTTCAGTTTTGCAGTAATGTAAGAAAATTTCAGCCTCTGACTTCCTGAATTGTGTGCTTCTGATATGAGCTTTAAGTGAAGCAATAAGTAAGAGAGAATGAGTAATATGTTACTCATTCATACTGCTATGTAAATGGAGTAGAGAGAAATAGATACATGGATACCCCTATAGCTAAGCTTAGCTATTTTTTTGTGATTACAAATAGTTTAGAATACTTGGATTTTTTTTTTTCTCTTCAGTTAAAAGATAAGGAAATACACACTTTCCCATTTAAAGTCAGACCTCACATCTAGACTGTTGGCACTTTTGTGATGAGTTATATGGACAAACAAGTGTTCATTCATGATCTGAAGCACCTAGTTGTGCGGAAGGAGGCACTGGGCTGTGCGGCAGTGTAAAAGTTCAAACCTGCCCCCCTAGAGACCATAGCAGCACATGTAGGAGGGCTATGGAATTGTCCTAGGGGCTGGAACTGATCCTTGAGGTGTTTTTGGCCTGTGTGGTTGAACTGACTGTACAATAATATACAGCATTCCTTTGTAAAGTTTTGTTCAGATAATGGGTGGATGTGATGACTAACTGCAACAGGTTCTCCTGGATATCTTTGTTCTACAGACCTACAGTGTTCCTCAGCTACTATGTTCTGTGTCAGTGTCAGCAGAGTCTACCAGCCCAGCGCATCCCATTCTGTTGTGCAGTGTCTGCTTTTTATGAGGCAGTCTTCTTGGATCATGAGTTGAAAGTAGTGCTCTATAAATATGAAGTAGTTTAGGAAGTCTGGTTTGCACTGACTACAGTACTTTTCGGTATTTGGTTTGATATGTTTTAGTAGTTCCTTCCAGTTTGAAGTTGTTTTCCAGTTTCTGTTATGTGCGTGTGGAAGATCTCTGAATATTTCAGAACTTTTCTGTTTTGGAAGTAGAATTTACACTTTTCTGATCCGTGACTCACCCTCTTAAGTCTGAGGAACAGGCATCTGCACTAGGATTCATAAAGAATGTGACAGTGACCTTACTTGAAACACCTAGTAAAGGGGAAGGGGATGGCACTCATATTTGGGAAAGAGAGGGAAGAGTAATCACCTCTGAGTTCAGTTGGACTCATCAGATTCAACACATTCATGAGTTGAATGAGTTCAGCTCATCAGATTAAACTTCTTGAGCTCATCATGTAAACATTGGGATGGAAGACAGGTTTGCAAAGAAAATAGAGCTTTCTCAGCCATTTCTTCAAGCATCCGCTAAGTCTTAAAGGCAAATTGCTGAGAGCATCTTTATTTTGAAAATGAGATCAGGATTGACTTGTGCAATGTTTTCTATCTCAAGCACAGAGACAGGAAGATAAGGATGCATTAAGCTGGTGTCGGTGTTGGAAGTCTTCAATTAGACCTTTTTTGTGGAGGTTTCTTAATATGTAATTGTGCTTCAGATTGGTGCCTATACGGTAATACTGATACCGTAAGAATACGTGTGGTACCATAACTGACTGACTTTTTTTCCTGTTCAGCTATTGTAGCTGAAGAAAAGTGTTATTAGTTATGTCATTTTTAAAAATGTTTGTACACGCAGGTAGTCTGTATTGAGATACCTTCAACAAAAGGCAGGAGTCGTGCAAGCATGCTCAAAAAAAAGAGGTTTTAATACACAATGTATCACCTCTCAACTATTTGGATGAGCATCAGAAGTACTATAGGCTACTGTCATGATGGAGCATCAGCAACACATTGTGTGACATTTGTACCACAGGCATGTCTGTCCAGATTGTTTTGTTTCACATTGTGTCCGCAGCATTTCCTAGAGCTGCAAGCACTAAGAGCAGAAAATAAGAACTTCCTTATTTTCTGCTAAGTGGAAGAAAAGCAGTGTGAAAAGAAAAAAAACTTGTCTTTCCAGGCACGTATGCATGCATTTTCGAGTTGCTGCCATGAAATTTCATGCTCTTGCACAATTTGGTGTGTCAGCTTCTCCCTATCGTAATTTGGGTTGGTTATCAGCTGATCTGTGTGAGTAACCCTACCCATTCTTGACATTTTCTAACAAATAACTTTTATATGGGTAGTCAAGATCAAAACAAATACCACTTTGAAGTAGTCTAGTGTTAAAAGAGATCCTTCTAAATTACGTGACCCAGAGCCATTTGTCTGTTCTGTTTTCGAAATTTTAGGGCTGTGACAAACAGTTCTTCAATGCATCTGTTCAGTACTCCAACATGGACCTATTGTTGGATTACATTAACAAGCATTCTGATGAGTTTGGAGTGACTGTCCAGTATGCCACTGTTGGTGATTACTTCCAAGCAGTTTATAGCAGAAATCTTACATGGGAAATTCGAGACTCTCAAGACTTCCTCCCATATTCAACAGGTATTTAAGTTCACAGCTGCATAATATCTGCCTCAAATGTACGTATTTAAAATTTTAATAAAGGGAAATTGAGAAAATGAGAACTAAAGTAAGAGGAAAAACACCATCTCCTTGTAACGTTTTATTTATATTATCAGATGTTATCAAATAGACAAGCTGATCCTAACTTAGTGGTATAAGAAAAATGGTAAGGTAGAGGTTGGAATATTTCTTTGGAACAGTTGGAAGCAATGAGTAGAGGAAGAGACCCTGAAAGAGTAAGTATAGAAATAGGCAAATTTGGCAAGGAAGATAACCTGAGGTTTTTGTTTTATTGTCTTTGAAAAACAATAGAGTGCAAAGGAATGCTAAGCACAAGGTTTATTCATGTGTGTAATGTCATCCAAATTTTTTAATGACCTGAAGAAATTTATAGATGCTGCACTAATCAGGTTCAGTTCCAGTTAAAACAGTGAGCAATGAGATGAACCTATAGGCCTAGGCCATTTGACTGAAATTCAATAAGGTAATTCAGTGAATGGATGAAGGAAAAAGGGTCTGCAAAGTATGTAACACACTACAAACTGGTTAGCAGACAGTAATAGCAAAGGTGCTTTGCAGAGGTGTACCAGCACAACTAATACAAGAAGTCTCTCATGACATTGGAGAGGTCCTTTCTGATCTCTCTAAAACTAAGATCCTAGGACTCATTCTGCTTCTATTTGTTGACCATTTGTTTCATGTTTAGACATTTAACTTGTAATTAATTCTTTTCTCTTCCTCCCACACATTAGCATGCACAAATAACCTGTAGTTTCCCAGGTATTGTGCAGCACTAGATGTGCATGTTACACCTCTCCCCAAAAATAAACTGTCGTAAGAACTGGATTATGTGTAGATTAGAGCAGAGATGGAAAACACAACATGGAGTAATCTATGAATGCCAGGCAGGTAACTGAGGGGCCAAGGCAATCTGAAAGCTCTTACGGTACCTTTTCGTTAGTACAGTGGAACAGGAGTTGTCAAAGTGAAGCAGTTGGTGCTGAGGATTTGATGTCCACACTCTATGTAACTCCAGGAAAACTGGCTATAATCTACTTATATTAATTGAATGCCTGTTAATCCTTATTACATACTATTGAGAATCTGGTTTGTGATCTCCAAAACCGATCTTTATATAAAGCAAAGCATGCTAGGTAAGGACGACTGGTAGTTCACTTCACAAGCATGTTCCTGGTCCAAACAAAAGACTGATGTAGATGAACTTCTAAAGTCCCTTGTAGCTCTAAGAGAAAGTACAGTCTTTTTCATTAAAGGAAGCAGTTTTAAGTTCTAAGGAAGAAAATTGTGTTGTAACTGAAGTTTCAAAAAGTAAAAATACTATTTGTATTTCTGAAATTTCATGCTATGGTGTGACACAAATTCATTGCAGCTGTTTGTTGCTTGCTTGCTTGCTTCTTACCTGCTACACTACCTTAGTTTTTCAAGCAGATCTGAAAAGTACTGGGAAGGTATGAAAGAAGGCATGCCATACCCAAAATCCCTTTAACCATTTTCCCCAATAAATTTACTCTTTTAGGCTTCATATCAAAGTATGCAGAGAGAAGACACAGCTAACTTTTCAGTTTCTAAACTCATTACTTTATTTCATTGTCTGGATTATCATCAGAACATCACTGGTATCATTAAAATACCTTTCTGTATAATTGTAGCTACCACTACTTCATCACATTGTTAGGCACTGTGGATGTATATCTGAGACTGTTACAACTCAAATTTAGTTTATACATCCAATATTCTGTAATGTGTCTGTTAACTTTTAAATTAATAAAAATAACTATTGCTTCCTGTGAATCATTGCATGGACTGATCCCTCACTCACCTCCCTCTAGGGATCATGTCATATCTATTATAACAATTTGCTGATAAATGCACTGCCAATGTTAAGTACTAATATCCTTTTACATCTGGGCTCTTACCTGTATCTTTTGGCATAATTTACAGGAGCAGTTGATTGCCACTAGCTTGCATAATAGTAGCACCTTCAATGTTCCAGGTGGGTGCCCACACAGATGCAATTTCTTCCCCAAACGGCTTACTGTGCCTTGAAATTGCAGTATAGATTTGAGTGCGCTTTCTCCCACATACTATTTTGCTTCTTGATGATTAATCCTCTCTCATTCTTTATATACTGTTTTATTATGAGTCACTTATTGGGCTCAGTGTAATTTCTGACATACAACTTTGAAGCTCAAGGTTTTACTCCCAGATAACTATTTCCTTTTTCTACTCTACATTCATTGTGCTGTGTTAGTATGCATATGTGACTCTTCTGCTTGTAACCTTGAAAACTGAAATGGAATTAATTCTGTTTGAAATCCTAACATTTTTCAGGCCAAAAATAATTTGTCCTGAAGTTTTTGAGCAAAAGATCCCATTTTGTAATTGTTGCCTTTGATCCTGAGCTGTTAGAAGATTGTCAGGGTTGCATATATGCACTTTATAAAGCACTTTCTGTGACTTCTCTCTGAGAAAACTATCGGTGGTATATTTTAAAAAAAAATCCCCCCCAAGACAAAACAAAAAACCTACTAAGTAGAGATTTGGAAGTTTTAAAGACAAATATTTGTTCTCCTAGTTTACTCTATGGGATACTGGAACATATTAGCACAAATTAACCGTTGAAATAGTTTCCACTGACCACTTGAGGGCATCTTTAGATGTAGTTTAAAGTGCTGGACTAGTTTGGAGTCATCACATCACTGTTTCTATTCCATTTTGAGGAAATGAACTGTAAGATAAATCCCTTTGACTAAGGGGGGGAATATAGAGAGCTTCTATCAAGCAGTAACCAAGGATTATAATCCACTTTATTGATGAATAATAAAATATGCTTCAGTGAAACTTCTAAAGTTGTTTTGTGCAGATCCACAAAGAAGAAAATTCTGCAAACACGAGTTAACTTAGTCAATAATGGCTTTGTATCAACACTCATATTATTACGCCTGTAGGAAAGATTGTAGTTTTCCAAAGTACACATTTATAGCTGTGTTTGTTTCTTTGTAGGGCTTCTAACTGTTCTGTTTGACTGGTGTGTAAACCAACAGCAGGTTTCATATAAGAAGCTGTACAGTAGTCATCTAATAAATAACAAATAAGTGATAACTGAATTGGTATTTTGGCATGTATTAGATCTGTTCAACTCTTAACAGAGCCGTTTCAAGCATGGACTGGGTTCTATACTTCTCGCAGCACATTAAAAGGAATTGCAAGGAGAGCAAGTTCACTGCTTTATGCTGGAGAGTCTTTTTTCACCCTGTATGTCCTGAAACACCCAGCAAGTTTTATTTGCAAATGTAGAGCCTTAAAGCAACTTCAGAGCCTTAGATGGGCAGTTTCAGAGGTAAAGACTGATTTATTTTTTTAATTTGAATGAAAATGGTTATTGCCCAAAGGCAAAGCTTTGTTTAAACATTTCAACTGAAGTGTCTTGAGGTTGTATTTATGTTTTTAAAAATAACTTTCCCCTTTACCAAGCCGTAAGTAAAAATAAAGCAATTTTTCAAAAAAACATCTTGAAACATGACTTCAGCCCCTTAGCCATGCATTCAAGACATGGTTACTGGCAAATGTTTTCTTCAGCCGGTAAAAGAGTATGTGGCTTCAAAATTCACACGTGAAATTTCTTTTCTTAATGTTGTTTTTTATTTACAAAATTATTTTTAAAAATAAAATAACCAAAAACTGAACTAACTGAAAACTACTGATAAACTCTACTTCTGCAAGTTAGAACAGAAAGCAGAGATTTGTTTCTTCAGAATTCAGCAGCTAATTCATCAGCCTCATACCATTAACCATTTACAGGCCTCAGTGCTTTTGCTGGTAATAAATATTTTGTCAGCTAAGTTATTGACCAGATCTTAGTAGGAAATGAAAACCCTGTCATATTACGGTATTTTTGCTGCATTTTTTTTTTTTGGTAACTTGTTTTTTTCTTCCTCTAAGTATGTAACTTCAATAATTTCTAAATACTAGAAGAGGAAGATATATAGAGGGACCTATCTTGGTTTTGACCATTCAATATATAGCAATTTGGAATAAGCAAAATGTGAATCTGTGAATGTAGCTGTAATACCTTATTATTTTAAGTTATATGTCTGAAGATTAATGGACCATGTTAATGCAAATGCAAACCTGAAGTTGTCATCCTGTTGCATTGTGACCTTTCACGTTACTCTGAAATGTAAGGTCCAGCACCACGATGGTATAACGGGCACAGAGTCTCCCAAGGTGAAGGACATGTACATGAATAACTTGATGTATGGAATGTTCAACGTAAAAAAGCTGATGGCTTCCATAATCTTTGACATGAACAATGCGAAGAAGAATGGAGAGGTCTATTCTTCTGTTTACAATATAGACTCAGGAATACCAGGTACATTTTAACACGGCTTTTCCAATTTTCAGGCTACCTTATAAAAGCGATCGTGTTTTTCTCAAAAACAATCAACATACTATGTACCACTTAAGTTCTGTGAACCACAGCCGGAAAATCCTGTTTGCTTTGTAAGATCTGCTAGACTCATATGAATTTATGAGCTCTTAGATCTCAAGCATCTGAAACCAGGATCTTTAAACTGATGCAAGGCAGAGCCCTGCCCCAGTGCATATATTAGACCTGGCTCCCAGATTCAGACCTTAGCTGTATAAGGGAGGGGTGGAAGAGGTGCTGATTAAGGTGATTACTAAACTAACCTGAATATACAACATAAGATTACACAGTAAGAAGCACAGTCACAGTTGAGAAATGGCCTTGCTGTAGTGTACTGCCAGCTTGTGTGAAAAACATAAAGGAATTTTTATGGAGTCTATTCTAAAGACTGTACATTCCCTTTTATCATTGCTTTGGAAACTTTTTAAACTGTCACATGGAAGTAGTGCTGTGAGCTGCTCAACAGACTGATCTGGTTTCTGCAGGGTTGTTTTTAGATTAGGCTTCTCAACTGATCTTCTGTATAACTCTGATAAAGTTAGTATTGCAGGACAATGAGTTGTGGTAAGCTGCTTATTTTCACTAAATCCATTTACATTCAACTCAGGTCCTATTTTCAGAATACACTGTGTCTTTTTATTGGGTAAAGACTAGAAGAATAAAGCAGAAGAGGCTTTTATGAAGCACTTTAAAATGTTTTTCTTTTTTCAGTCATGAAGTTTTACTGTGGGGTTTTATATTAAAATTTTGTAAGATGCTTGTATCTAGACAGATCTCAAATAATTTTTAATATCAAATTTTTAAAATACATCATTTTAGTGACTGATAACTTTGTTTGTGTGCACAAAGGTGCTACAGACATTGACCAGTATGTTGTTGTCTATAATCCACTGGCATGGAACATCACTACCTTTGTCACAGTTTCTGTCAGCCACCTGGCAGTGAGTGTATATGATGAACTGGGACGTTCTGTACCAGCACAGGTACTTAACTTTGTTTCTGTCTGTTCCTTTTCTTTCACTTGTCAGTTTTCACTGGCTTGATCCTACCTCCTGCCAAAGTGTAGAAATATATAGTATTACAGAGAAAACAGGTATTAGTTAAAAGCAGGATTTTCCTAGTCCTTCTTCAAGGTGTTTTTTTTTTTCTTTTTACTTGCCTATTCTCTCAGCTAGAATTAAATTTTTTTTCTCTTAATGTCTAGAAGGGCTTCCTGCTCTTCTGCTGTGTTTGGTTTGTCCTTTGCATGCCTGCTGTGTGTGACCTGGCACTTCTTATCTTGCTTTTCTTTCTATAAAAAACACTGTTTCCAATAAAGCCATTTTTGGTTGAAGCCCTGCCCTGTAATTGACAGTCCTGTTTGTACAGTTCACAGATTGCCCTGGGGAAGAGATTTAAGAAATGTAGGTTTTATTTACAAACCCAAAAGAAGCTGGGGACAGTCAGCTGCCATATGACATATCATTCTGTCACGGCCAAGCTCACAAGGCCAGCTGTTCCCTGGAAGAGAAGGTGACCTCAAGTGAAAGCTAGCACTAGCCTTTCTCAGGAGCATCTGCTGTAGAGTGTGCATCATCATCAAAGGCTTGGTAAACCTGTAGGAATGCCTCCTGCATGTAGGAATGCCTCCTCCACTGAAGAGGTGTGACACAATTCCAGATGCTCCCCTGGATCTGCGATACCAAATAGCATGTTCTGCCAGCTGGACAGAGTTTCTGTTATCAGTGGCTTATGACTATCACCATGCATCAAGTCCTGCTGGCTGAATTGCTTTAGCCTGGTAAGATACAAGGAGGAAATTCACATGTATTTAAAGTATTTATTTCAGGTTTTAGGGTGCCCTGAATTCAAGCTGTCATTCTTTATTTTAAAAAGACAAAGTTCTCTGTTGCAAAGTTTGTCTGTACTTTCTTTTCCTGGACATTACCCATATGTGCATGTGGATAGTCACTTGAGACTAAATGAAATCTCTTTACCAGTAATGAGAAGGTGGTTTAGGGTCTTCTTCTTCCAGTATGTACTGTTGAAAAGTACATTCATATTGCACCCGCCTTCATTCTGAGAGAAAGAAATCTTGAGCTCAGAATCCTGATGTGAGCATGTGGCTGAGAGGGGATTGAGGCTTGGCCAGTGCTCTGCTACCTTCTGCACCACATGTGTGAGTTGTACAGTGAAGGGAGGAAAGGGGAGTAGGCCCTGTTGATGCCGCTAAGGTTAAGAGGCCTGCAGTGCGAGTAACAGGAAACATGCCAGTCCACAGTGTGAAGATACAAACAACTTGCTTTAATTTTTGATTAGTTATAACTAACCTCTTCGTCCATGTAATCTCTAGCCAGTATTTCTCTAGCCACATTTCCTTGCCCCAAACGGAAAGCACTACTGAATTATATAACATTAATGGGCAGGACACTTGTAATTGAAAGAGGATTAAAAACTCTTAAGGTATTTTGATGTTAAGTAACACTGCTGTTCTGTTTCCTGTTCAGAAGTAAGCCACAAGCTTCTACCTCCCTCTCTGTGTGCCTTGCTAAAGGTGAGGGCACATCTGAGTGCTTCCTCCTCTTTCCGTGGGTTTTCTCCTACTTGCACTAGTTATGTCCCTTATGTTTCAGTCTTTTTTCTGTCATTTGACTGATCAGTTTAATTTGTGATTATTTCTGCTCATATAGACATTTAACAATGTGATCTTAAATCAAGATCTACAATTCCGTGTTCACATTAAAATAAGATCTAATTTTGTAGTTTGCTTAGTGACCCTCTTTCCTTCAGAGAAAGGCTAAACTTAATCCAAGTTCACCAAACTCCCAATTAAAGGTAGCACTGATCAACATTATAATTGAGAATTATAAGAATGGCATGTTTAGAAACCTATTTTGAAGTAGTGGCTACTTTATGAATTTAGGGCTTACAAGACATGTAGTTGCTTTGCTAATTGATTTTCTCTAATGGAACATTGTTTTGTATGTTAACATGTAGGTTCAAAGATCAGTGGAGTCCCATTCTGCCTATGATCTCTATATTCTCGTTGCAATAAGTGGTCTGAGCTACAGAAAATACAGTGTTAAACCCTTAAATGGTAAACAGTCTGCATTTATTGGAAGATCAGTCAAGTACAAGCGAAAAGACATAACTCGTGCAGATCAACAAAGTCGACAGTTGTTTCCTGTGGTTAACAACTGCTACCAGGTCTTGTTTGACCAAAACACAAATCTAATGCACAGTATTACAGAGAGGTGAGATTGCCTGCTTGTTTTTAATAATGTTTCAGATTCTCTAAAACCTTTTTGTAAAAATAAGCCCAAGGACTGTATCATGTGTCTTAATTCTGAAACTTAACCAGAAAATGTTCTTTACAATTACTTTTTATCTCCAGTTCACATCATCAACCCTAGTCTAGGTATGATTTCATACTATTTCTGTAATGTTGCCCTGTTTAACCATGCAGTCAAAGATTGTGTATCACAGTATTAAGTAGTAGATCAGCAGGATCTTACTGTGCTTTAGAACTAAAGAGGGTTATGAATGTGTGTTTGTATTAAAAATAAGTATGCACATACACTGTGGCTATACAATGAGCCTTATGTAAAGCAAGAGCTTTCTCTTACTCATCAGTAGTGTTTTGCAAGTCCTGTATCGCTGTTTCAGTGGTAGGAAACTACAAAACTTTTCGAAAGGAAGCATTTAACTAAGGAAATTCTATTTAATCAGGCAGATGAAATGGAAGAGCAATCAAGATAGAGGTGAGATTTGGGGTTTGCAGATTGTCTTTTTCAGCTGATGTGAATTGGCCCAATTCCTTCAGCTTCAGTGGATCTGTGCTGCACTTTGCCTGCTCAGGATTCAGATTGTCAGCTACGTACTGATGGAAAATTTGACCCCTTTGGCACTGGCCTAGTGATTACTACACCTTTTCCACCTTTTGAGTTTTTGTTCATAATTCTGCCTCCGAGAGCAAGAACTTCTTCTGTAGTATAGTTAATAGCAGCTTTAAAAATAACAGATGTGCCATAATTAAGAGCCCTAAAGTAAGTACTTCCTCAAAGTGCCTTTGGATCCTGTTTCCAGATACCATGAGGAAAATAATAAGAACCACAATGAGGAAGAACAAAAATCTGAATTCAAATTCCATTTTTCTCTATCCTGTTCTGGCAGACATCAAAAGCTGCAATTCAGCATGTAGAAGAAATGGGATATTCACTTTATTCACAAGCCTTCAGGCAAGCCCAGCATGTTTGAGTGTCGGGAAGTTTGCTTTGGGGATAATAGGAAAGAGCAAGGCATCAGGTCAGAATGGGAGCAAAGGTTAAAAACTGTGAAGCCTTATAAAGTTTAGCTGCAGCAGTTAGACCTTCTAGGTCCTGCCCCTGCACTGGAATTGCGTTATAACTGGAGTAGTAGATAAGAATTGGATGTTTCTCTCCTCAGTCATTACAGTTTGATTTTATACTGTAATAACACCAGGTAAAATAGCTGGCGGTTTAAATTTCTGTGCCAGACTAAGTGATTTTTCCTGTTTGCCAGCAAGGCTCCCAAAGAGGAGCAGAGTAGGTAGCTGAGGGCAATAACATATTAAATTGGCTTCATATGACTTTCCAAAGACTGATACAGAATTACGAATAACTAAACTGTAAGCTTCAGGGGAGAAGGGAGGACACAAAGTAGGTACCAAGTGAGTGTAAATTTTGGTATCATATTGCCATTATATTCGTTACCAATGTTAGATATGGAAATTTACATCATGCTGATTTACATACCTACAAAGTCAGTTAAATGAACTGGATTATTCATTAATACGATGCAACATACTGCATTTTGTGCAATGGGTAGTGTTTGATCCTGTAGCAACTCTCCCGTCAAAACAATGAGCTAATGTAGAAGGTCTTTCTGTCTTAACATGTTTCTGTTTTACAAAAGTATGAAATGACATAGAAATTTAATTTGTTTACACACTGACAGACGTCTTGAAGAGAAGCACTTTAATGCTCTTCTGTCCCCATTTCCTAAACCTTATAAAATCAGTTATTTGCTTTGAGGAAACAGATTATTTTTTTTCTTACATCCCCAGCCTCATTCCTGTTGCAGTTCAGCTTTGCATCTATTAAGTACAAAATGTATTTGTAAGTAATATAATTTTTCCTCTTCTGTGGATTCACAGGGAGACTAACCAGACTATCCAGTTGACCCAGGAGTTCCTGGAGTACCATGCGAATGGAGATGTGATGAAAGGGCCCATTTCAGATAACTACTTATTTGCCCCAAACGCTTCAGCTGTTTCAGTGTCAAAAGCAGTGGGATTGGAATTGGTTTCTGGAAACTTGATCACGGAGATACGGCAGTATTTCTACAGGTACACCATTACAGCTTCACTTCACTGGAATGCTTAATTCTCTGTAGATATGTATGAGATGAATTCTTTATAATTACTCCTAAACAGTGAGCTCTGTGTACGGTTTAGGTTTTAGACAAAAGTGCTAGCATGCATCTGCTAAATGTAGTGCTGAGGAAGCACTCCCATAAACAGCACATATTTAAAGAAAGATTGTTCAGAATTATCTTCTGTGGTTTGCTTTATAGTGCAGCTTCTGTTGGGATCCTGGTTCCATACAGTTCAGTGAAAACTGCAGCTAACACCTTTTTACACTGGTAGAATTTGGACATAATGGTTCATTTTTATAACTGTGAATATCTGCCTTACAAGTAAATTAGAGGAGAAATGAATCCTAGAGAAGGACACTCTGCCACCGATGAACCAGCTACTTTTCTGTGTCAAAATTGTATTAGTGTCTAACCCCTTCGCCCTTTTTTCAATTTGATTATTTAATTGAAGCCTTTTGCTTTACACGGCACTGTACCTGGATTGTAGTTGAGAAGGACCTTTGGAAAACAGTGGAATTCTTGCACCAAAATTAATGTTGCCCAGATTGAAAAAATATCTGTACTCTGTAAATATGTTGCTTATGGAGTCATAACTATTTTTAAATTTTTTGTTAATTTTGAGAAAAGCAGAGCCTCTCTAATCAAATGAAGAGTCCTCCTTAACGCTTGCAACACTAAAGAAATTTGTAGGATATCATTTAATCCAACTGAATATCTGTACATTTGAAAATTCAATTGAAATTTAAAATAATTGTACATGAAATATAAAGAAAACAGGCAAGAAAGTTGTCTATGTGTAGGATGATGTCATGAATGATTTGCAAGTCTTGACATAACCGATCAAGTGCTATAAATTCTGCATATCTTTTCTCTCATTTTTATAGTAATGTTACTGCTCAGGATTACATATATGCAGTATATACCAGGATTTACACAGTACCAGAAGGCTACGATGAGAAGTTGCTTTGCCATAGGATAGAGCAAGAATACAGTGTTGGGCCTTTGGAATTAAATCGTGAAGCAGTTCTAAGGACAAGCACAAATTTGAACACTAGGCAGCTCCTCTACACTGACAACAATGGATATCAGATTCAGAAAAGACCATTCAAGGCATATGTGAATAACACAGTAGCTCGGGTAGGCACAAAGGTGTAATCCAGAATCAGCTGTGTCTTATCTTTGTTCTCCAGTACTGTTACCTGAGTTAATTCTATCACTGCGTGGTTTACTGTGTGTTTTCAGAACTATTATCCTATGGTGCAGACTGCCTACATTGAGGACGATACGATGAGGCTGATGCTGCTTACAGAGAGAGCTCATGGTGTCTCAAGTCAAGGAAATGGACAAGTGGAGGTAACTTGTAAAAACTTTTTTTTTTTTCTAGGAGAATATAATTTTCTGGCTGCTGAGACATTTTTAACTTCCCAATACAGGTGATGCTTCACAGGAGACTATGGAACAACCTTCAGTGGGACCTGAATTACAATCTCACTTTGAATGACTCTTCAGTGGTTCGTCCTGTCATTTGGCTTATTTTAGGAACCAAGAGTGTCACCAATATTTTGTATCGGACAAGTGGACTAGCATTAGAACACAGGCCAGTAGTAATGTTTGGAGCATTATCAGGTAACTCGTTCCATCTCCTGTGCTATCTTTAGTATCTGAATGGCTTATTTGTTTTGCTCTGGTTTATGCTGTTAAGTTTGTAAATGCAGACTTCAAGCCTCCTGTGTGGCAAAGTTAGTATACAGTGAGTTAGAAGGCAGATTTAGAGCCTGCTAATTACTTTACATTAATTTCAAACATGGATGTTGTCCAAGTGTATGAAATGTTTCTCTTGTTATGTAATTATCTCTACTTTCAGAGGAGAATAAATTTTAAAGCATCTAATGAGAACAAAATATCCACACAGGGAATTACTGCAAAGTAGCTAGTGCACCATATATCAGCTTCCTGAATGCTGGGTCCTTAATGACCATTTTTGAGTCAATCCTTTAAAAACATTTGTTTGACTTATTAGCTAAAAGTGAAGCCTGGTAGTGGAATAGAAACTTCAAGCTGCAGTGAAATTTGCTTTATGGAAATCTCTAATATACTTCTCCAGCAGTTACAAAGCAGAAAGCAACACTGATTTTATCTCAGAAGGCCTTGGAACAGAAAGCATAGCATCTGCTTTGCATCTGCCTTGACAGTAAAAGCAAAAATCTCTTTGCCCTTCCACAGTGACCTAGCCAGGCTTGTGTGTGTGATGGATGTTTGATGTTTTCTTTGTTTCATTTTGCATGGTGGAGATAAACCAAAGATACCTGGACAACTTCAGCAGAATTCAGTCAGTTCACCTGTAACTGTCCCACCTAATCTTCATCTCCAGACTCTGAGCATTCCAGGGTGGAGATACAGCTCTAATCATGCAGAGCAGGTCCACAGCATCCATATGGGTAGGTGCTTTCAAAGGGGTGGTTAGATGTTATGCTTTGAAGAAGCTGGTTTTCTTTTCTTTTTATCTTCTATGGCTATATTTTTATTTATTCAAAGTGTCAAATTCCTCTTTCAAGAAAGTTAATTGTACTGTATGATTGCTTTACTCATAGTAAAATATTTCTCCTTCATGAGCTCATCATGCCTGTTAGTGTCATTCCTGTCAACAGTGGGAGCTGGGTATTTCTTGCTGTTAGTGCTCTTGCTAATTTTAAAAAAATGGGAATTAAATTCAAATTATGAGCATATAAAGATAAAGGAAAAAAAAGCACTGTAAATTGGTTTTATTTTTAAAGTAAGAAAATGTTCACATTTTGTTTAATCTTAAAGGGAAACAGAAGCAAGGTGATGCAGACTTCAGTCGTGTCCTGCTGAGAATCAGGCACTTGTATGAAGTTGGAGAGGATCCTGTGCTGTCTCAACCTGTGATGGTAAATCTGAAGGTAAAATTTAATCCTTTGAGACAGAATACCACTTGAGGTGGTTTTGTTCCAAAGAGAACTGGTTCTGGGATGAAACATCCCGTGTGCTAGAGACTGCACAAAAGATGGATATGAAAATACTAGTATAACTTTAACCTTAGAGGAAAGCAGGTCTTACTCTTACTGAACTTTGCAGGAGCTGTTACTTCAGATGAAGTTGCTATAGACACAGCATGAAAATCTGCTCTGTTGAGCTCTTAGTTGTGTAACACTTCCTGCAGTACCTTAATCAGTGCAGAGAGTGAAAATCTGTTTTGCTGTTTCTTCAGTTATTGGAAATTGTACCTATAGTTAATAAAATGTGGACAGGATTAAAGAAAACATTTTTTTCCTCTGTAGTTTTATTTTTGCAAGTTGTTGAAACTTTGATCATTTCCATCATGAACTGTGTATTTTCACTTTCTTATTTATTTGCTCTTTCATATAGACGTAGAATGTTTTATAATAAATGGCACAGGTTTATTCTTTTAAAATGTTTCTGTCATCAAAATCAAAATATCACATGGGGAACAACGTGTAGAGTTTTCTGGTTTGTTTTTAAAAGTGCAGTGTGAGTTTCAGTTCTTGAATGGAGAGATTAGTAGGCTCTGGACTGCTACAACACAGAGAAAGGTACAGCACCTCAGCTTCTCAGTTTGAAGTGTGGTGAATCTGTAGGTGAACTAACTGTGTACTTGACCGGTGAGTGTGATGCTATTGTCAATAAACTGTGGGTTGTTCCTTGTGTTTTCTTTACTGATAGTCTTTGCTAAAGGGATTAGGATCAGTGGTGCTAGTGGAAGAGCGATCACTCACAGGCATCTGGGATGTAAACACTTTGAAGCGGTGGAAATGGAAGACTGTGCAATATCCAAGCAAAGGTAGGTGGAATAAGGTGGTTGGTGTCTCTATTGTTATTGGCTGTTGAAGCTCGATGGATGGTCTAATTAGAAAAATTAAAATATTTGCAAAATTAAAAATGTATTATTCTTCTATATGACAGACCTTGCATCTGGCAGAGCCTGCAAGCAGTAACATTTAGCAGATTCCCTGCAAGTACTAGACTGCTGTATTTCTCTGATGGCTTGTTTTGCCTAGAAGTGTTAACTCCAGGAAGATTTCAAGCTTTTTATCTTTGTTCAGATAGAAATAGCTACTTTTATGAATTCACATTTGAGACACAGATTGATTTTTGCAAGATGCTGTTGAGTTGTGTTAATCTAAGCTTATGCTTGTGCTGCAAAAAAACAGACGAGTGCAGTTAAAAATCTCCACTTTAATCAGCTTGAAGTACTGTGTGGATATGATTCAAGTTAGGGCTGACACTCAAGTTGACTGTGGTGAGTGACCTAATTTCATTTCTCAGTCCAGTTAGTTGCTTGGACATTCTTACTGTCATTTACATCCATGTATGTGCCTTGTAAAAAGCTTGCAGAGGTTTTGGGCTGAGCTAGGTGAGAGTTTAGAGCTCTACTTGACCTGCAGCTAGGAACTTGCTTGCTCTTTACTCGTGATGAAGAAAAGGTGCATGACTGCAGAGCTGTTTCACATTTTCTGTGTGAGAAGGTGTGTGAAAAATAGATGAATTGTTGTATATTTTAATATTATGAATGGGTGCATCTTAGACTCCACACTACTTACAGCTTTAAGGAGGAGAATCTGCTCAAACACCAGCTTTTAAGGAAGGGATGACTTAAAACTGTTGAGATAGAATAATATGTATATTTGAGTAAAGCTGCTTCTTTAAAAACTTACCAATGTTTTTGTGTTTTGCAGGATTCTCCAACAGCACAGACTCCTCAGAAAACTGTATAGCAACTGTTCACCCAAAAGAAATAAGGACTTTCTTTATATACTTTCAAGGTCAATAAAGTCTGACATTGTATTTCAGGAACGAATATGTAATAGCTTCCAATTTTTGTTTCAAGATCTGACTGGTAATCTTGAAAAACATTCTACTGTTGTTAATGAAAGAAATAGTCATTTTGGAATAAACTCTTAATTAAACTGTTGGCCTGAGTTGTAGGTATTTTTATTGGTTAATTATTTACACATCTTTTTTGTCTCAAACATGTTCAATTCAAAAAAATACCTTGATGTTGCAGTGCAAGCACATTGAACATTTTTGTGCTTGATGTGGGTCGTTTTAAAGTGGTTGCTCCTATGATGCATCACTGTGGAGCACTGGCAAAGTCATATTAGTCCTTCAGTCTTTCTAATTAGTGATGATCTTAAGAGTCTTCTCTTAAGGCTTTTATTGTTAGAGGAGATGACTTCCAGATCACAGAATATACTAATTTACTAAATTATGTTCTGTTTCCACATGCAAAGAGGAATGCCTCTCACGTTTCAGCTACTTTGACTTTGGACAACAACTGCAAAGTTTCTGCTTTGCTCTAAACTGAAATTGAATGTATGATACTGTTTGTATTCCTTTGACTAAGTTGTAAATTTTGTCTCTTAAGGCTCAGAACTGGTTGGCTTTACTTCATAGTATCATGGTGGTGGATGTTCAGTCTTGTGTTCTGGGTAAACTGGAGCTATTCTGTCAACAGAAGTTGTACTGCCACATGGCCAGTAACTGTCATCACATAACCTGAAGCAGGAACACCATTCTTATGATACCATGAACTTCATACTTCTCAGGCTCAAAGAATGTGCACTGTGGTAACAAGAAATGTTTCATTAGCATCACATTGAAGTTAATTATGGAGGACTGTGTTGAGGGGTTAAACTTACACTAAGTGCAAATTCTAGGAAAATCTGATTCAGCAGCAGCAGAAGGAAACTTGGACAGCAGTTAGCTTTCCTAATAACTGGTATGTATTTATGTCCAAAATAAAAGTTGCATTTCTCTATTTTTCTTGTTAGCTCTAAACAATGTAGAGCTTTTGTAGAGAATTTGATTCTGTTCACATGCTATGGACAGCTCTACTCATTTTACTTATTCACTGTAAAAATAGCTGAGATGAGAATCAAGTCAGTCACTTCACTGCAATGGTAATGATGAATTATGCTTGGTGCAACACTCTACAAAACTGTATTTCTGACCAGTGAAATGTAAAACTGAAAGAGGAAATACATAGGTTTAGAAGAGGAAAATAGGTGACTTTACAGTCAATAATTCCAGATCGAGAATCAGGTAAAAATGACATTTTGCTGTGGTAGTTGTTCTAATTTACTTCAGCTGTTCAATAATTTTTTCCATGTGGAGACACTGTTCAAGAACAAAGGAAACAGTGAAAAGAGCTCTTCCAGAATAGCTATTGAGAAATAGTTATGCTGGAGGAGCTGCGCTAGTGGTCAGTTTTTCCATTTAGACAGCCTGTGTATGCTGACTGGTTGCATCTCATTAAAATCACTGCAGAAACTGCCACATTGTTATTGGACAAAGAAGGTTGTTTCATATTTTCTATTGGTTATTTTTTATACTTGGCTGTAAATATTTACTGATATGCTAATCTAGTCTGCCCTGCTACAGTTAAGCCATTTTCTTGCAACATTAAGCCCAAAGGCAAAGTATATAGCACTGTAACTAGGATGCAGTAAAGCATGATGACAACTATTTTTTGTTTTGTTTTGTGGATGTGTTTGGGAAATTAAATGTGTTCAGCTGAGTCATTTTCCTTGCTTGTACATCTTTCTCATTCCCTCTGTGGTTATACTACGTAGTATAATGGGTATACTGTAGATTACACAGTGGTATGATTACAATTCATATTTTTGTGACTGAAGTGGTATCCGCTAATACATGTGCTAGTTAACAGCAAGTCATGCTGGTAGATTACAAAGATTGAACTATATCTTCAGTGGGCAATTGCATGGTCAATCCTGGCCGAGCAGTAAAGAATCCTACAGCTGCTAACTCTGGGCACTGCTTTCCCAGATGTCAGGCTGATATATTTATAGTAGGCTTTGTTAGAACAAATCCTACAAAAACCTTCTGTACACAGGAATACCTCATTATCAGCTGATATATGGGGAGGGGGTGTGTGTGTGTCTTCGATTTGTGGAGAATTTCTGATTTAAAAATCTAAAAAAAACCCACCCAAAACCCGCAGAATATTTTATCTGGAGTTATTTCAGTGCAATTGGTCATGAGGGAATAATTTGCCAGAGTCAAATCTTGTATTGCACTGGAGGCATCCAAGACTGTGATCTGTAAAAAGCATGGCATTCCTGCTAGAAGAAGATGTTGTTGCATATTTTATATGTTCTTTTTCCTGAGATATCTCAGCCCAAGCAAATGGAAGCCTGCAGGCATTCAAATCTCTCATTTAATAATTATTCTTTTCTTTTCCCTCACATGTGTCAGGATAGAAATATTGCAGTGCTACATCAAGACTTGATAGAAATCAGGCCACTCTGTACTTAAATGCATCAGATTGGACACACAAAAGAAACAAGGGTGATGTAATGTTGTAAGCAGAGGAAAAAGTCATGCATGCATGCAGCATATTTGTGCTATGGTAAATCAGCTTTGTTTTTAATTTTGGTTGGAGTTAAGGAAATAGCAGTTATAGAGGGGAAGAGCTAGGAGGAGGCAGTAGAGCACTTTGGTGCAGGGGAAGGAGAGGAAGTGACAAGCAGTCAGGGTGAAACTGATAAAAGTCCAAAATGCAGAGTCTCCTGTTAACAGTTTATTTTGTCCAGAGCTTCTGGCTGCAGACCTTCCAAGATGCTGCTGTTCAGGGTCCTGTGGGAGATCTTGCCTGGAAAAGCCAAATTATATTTGTTCCATCATTGTATGTAATTTTGAGGAGTAGAAACATGAATGTCCTTGAGAGCTGGAGGAGTCCTGTTTATGTCCAGAGACAAAGAGTGGCTCTCAGTAACCCCTCTTTTACCATCTCCTTTGCCAGTGCCCCAGGCCACTTTGTCATGTTTTCTCTGTTGGCTCTAGGCTCTGCTGGCTCTAGCATTGCTCAGCGTCTGATATGGCTTGGGTAGCAAAAATGTGAGCCTCAGTTGCAAAGTAGAGAGGAAGATATTTCCAACCACTGAAGATGCCAGATTTTCCCTCTACTTGGCATACACATGGTTGGGTTTGTTATACTCCACTTTCCTTCCTATTGCCCCATTCTATCTCAAATACTCCTAGTTACATCCACATTGCTGAAATGTATATTCTAGTTCTTTGGACTCACAAGAGAAATAATTTTTTTGTTAGGTTTTTTGCTTTCTAGGAAAAGTTAATTCATAACCTTTATTTTACATTAAATTGGGTGCAAACCTAAATTAAAGCAAAAGAAAATGGTTCCCCTTTCATGATGGCATTTATCTTGTTTGAGAAAGTCCTGCTGATGAATGTATTGGTGCCAGTACTCTGACCATTTTTTTTTCTATCGTGTAAAAATTACATAGCTGCTATTTTGAAAGGACTTTTTTGCAGTTCACTTCTTTATTTACTAGAGCAGGTAAAAGAATCACTCTTAAAAATAATTTTAAAAGTAATTGTGGTATCCACAGTTGGATATTTGTTTTGTCAGTCCATTTGTGTTGTGGAGCTGTTTTTGCTACTGAGACGTAATTTATTATTCACAGATTAAAATAAATTAGGAGTGTTTTCTCTGTGCTAATAAATAAGTGTGCCAAGAAGAGTCTTACAGTCAATATCAAATTAAGGTTTTGGTGGGGGGTTTTGTGTCGTAGCTAGACAAAATTAATAATGTGTATGTATCATACAGAAGACATAGAATGCCATTAACTGTCATGAGAAATTATGAAGTCAGTTACACTGAAGTTAGGTACTGGATAAAAAGCCCAAGTGATAGTGTGCTTTCCACCTTGTGTTTGAGTTGGAAGAGGGGAAGATTCGTGAGTTAGGCACAACAGAAGTCAAATTTCCATTTTCACCAGAACTTTCTTTTGGCACATCTGCAACTTTCTGAAGTCTTTGTTATGATTTGAAGATCTTGAAAAGGCAAATGTGAATTAAAACTTACAAAAAGAATCTGATAACATGTCTTTGACTTAGTACTTCAGAATTTTGTTTTGCCTATGAAAATTTCAGATTAAATTTTCACAACAAATAAATGTAAACAGTTTTTGCTCCATTTTCTTACTCCAGTGCAGCATAATTACAAACTCACTTGGGTTTCACACATAGTCTCTTCAATGCTGCTGTAGATGAATAAACTTTGACAGCTGACAGTAACACCTCAAAAATGCTGCTGTCTCATTAATGCTTGTGTTAGAAGCTCTCAAGCAAGCCTGACATACAGGAAGGAGGAGGAAGCAGGTGGAGGTTCTCTTTGTTTAAAAATTTCAAGTGTATTTTTCAGTATGACTCCACGGGTGTTCTTTGAATGCCATGGAGAAAAGTTTTGGGAAGACAAGTTTGTGCAAAGCATCCAGATGATGCTTATAACTACCACTGCCTCCAAGAACAGAGTACCCCTGCGCTGAGCAGCTGCTCTGCAGTCATCTCAAGCACACCAATAAGTAAAGTTACACATTTACAGAATCCAAATTCATTGATGCATTTTCCAAGGTTAACTAAGATCAAGTTGGAGAAAGAAAACAAAACTTAAAAGGATCTTTCTGTTGTAGACACTTTCCTGACCCACATCGTCGTTTTGCGTGATGGGCTTATCCTGGCAGCAAAACTGGTTTAAGAAATTATGTCACCATATTTTTCTACCCACTCAAGTAGTACTGTAATGAGAGTTTGTGGGGTTGTGTTGTAAAACGGTACAATGAAGTAACCAGGGCTAAAAACACACTTTTTTCCCCAACCCCTTTTTCTGTGTGCTAGCTCATTCCATCTCTGACAGTGCGTGCTTTGGATTACAACCAAAGTATCTTTCAGAGTAAATATAAGCTGCTATCAGCACTACTGAAAAAATTTCACCTGCTTTCCAGACAAGATATTCTGTATGCTGGAGCTGCCAACTGCATAACTCAACACTAAATGCAAAAATGTAGATATTTAAATATAAAAGAAAACAGTTTTTTCTCTTTAATTTACACATGCATACTTCATTTATTCTACATCTTTGATCAGTAGTACCAAAGATAGCACGGATGTCAATGCTAACAGAATTATTTAATATAATTAAATAATATCCTTATGTCTAAATTATTTGCTTTAATATATTCTTTCATTTACTTGAATTTAAAGGTATTTGTTATGTCCTCACTAACTCTTAAAGGTGATAACCGAATCAGCTAGGCACCATCAGAAATGGGGATAGCCTATAACACTATATAACTTTTATCTTTGCTATTGTCTCATTTTTATTTTACTTGGCAATCTAAACAACGGTGGGAACTACTTCTAGGGTAGACACTGAGAAGCAGGTGAGCTGATGCATCATGCTTGTTGCTGACAAATGGAAAGGATGCTTTTAGCTTTAAATGTGACTGTCTTCCGTACAAATTGCAGTTCAGCTGTTCTGGATGCCTGCCCAGTACTGCTAAAACCTGATGTTAGTTCTAGGAAATTCTGTAGTTGGCAGGTTCTTATCAAGTTCTTAATTTAACTGATTCATGTTCTCAGCACGTTCTATCCGATTTTTTTTTAATTCTTTTTAAGTTCTGTCGTTGCAGTTTTGATTTTATCCAACTGAACATGTCTGTGGGACGATTTCATCAGGCCTAGTACCTTTGCATTTGAGACATCTGTCCAGGCAATAAGATGATAAATTGAGAAAATGAAAGCAATGTTTTGTCTTCCACTTCTCTGGTCAGGCAATGTAAGTGATTCTGGGTTGGAGCCAAAAATCAGTACTGGAGAACATTAAACAGCATAAAGTTATCTATAGTTGTAGAATTTTTTAAGATAACTGAAGACAAGTTACTTTCAGCATTGTCCCTGATGACTTAACTGTAGATCATTTTATTTAACCCCTACTTATAATCTTATTGAAACAAGCCTTAGTTAATATACGTGGCACTGTTATTGCATTAATGCAACTTCACCCTAGATGTAATGGTGGGACACATTGCATGCACGAGGTGGTGTCCTAGAATGTTTCCCACTGGCGTGTGGAATGCTGGGGCTATTGCAAGTGTGATCTTCCTCCATTGCTTCTGCCAATGGAGCTGTACTACTGTTGAGGCAAAAGTAGGAAAATACCTCTCACAGAAGGGAAAAAATTAGTCAAGATTTCATCAAGATAATGAAATTTGTGATAAAGAAAGGAGTAATACTTGGTATCAATATAATCTATGTACAATCATAGTCACTTTGTCTTTGGATGAGATTCATCAGCTTGGCTGGAAGAGGCTGCTGACAAGCATGTACACAGTAGCTAAAGTCTTGTTTTCATAAAATGCCTTTAAAGGCAAGATTTCCAAATTTGCAATAGCAAACATTCACGAGACAACTTTCAGTACAGAAAAGCAGTTCTTTGTGTCATATCAGAAGAGAGGCTAATCTAGTGTTGAAAGGTAACCAGTTAGGACACAATTTAAAATTTAAAGAAGAAATGTTCTGATTTCAGACAGGATGGCTGGGCTCTAAAACAGGCATGTCTATGACAGCAGTTTCAAAGAGTGTAGGGTAAATTTGGGTTGCTTGTAGGTTTCTATCATCTTCACCACATGAGGGAAGAGGAAGTTAACCTCTAAACCTGACACGCTTTCATTTGTTGTTTCACCAACCTTCAGCAAAGACACCTTGATGCAAGTGCTAATAATTCTGCGTGATGATTGTATTTTCACTGGAACTTCTTTTAACAATGTGTTTTGGCTTCTTCGGTAAGTGCCATTTATTTTCTTTGTTTTGTTTATAGTTAGTCACCTGTAATTCTTGAGCTGGATTTAAAAACCTTCTTGCAGTACATCCACCTCAAACAGAATTCTGTGTGAGACAAGGAGAATGTTAACTGTATTAAAATGAATGGGGAATCAGAAAGCCTCTTCACAAACAGATTGTTGTAGGAAAAGTGTAGAGGAACAAATTGTATACTTTGACATGCAAGATGATGTTACATTAATGAAAGCACCATTTTTCTTAGACCTTCAGACTTGAATATTTATTGTGACAAACACTGAATGTAGAATTTTTAAATGCCAAGGAAGTTTTGTTCTAGATCATGTAAGTATGGAAATACAAAGCAGATAAGGTTTCATGTTTCTTATTCAATACAAATTCCACTGGATAATACTGAAGGTGTTCAGTATAAATTTAAAAATAGAACAAAGAAGAGGGAAAGATTAAGAAATTAAGCAAGGGCAAAAAGATTTTTCAGTAATATCTTTCAGAAAGACAGTATAAGTCACAAAATGGAAATGTAGCACAGCTTATAGCACAACTGTCTTAACAAACCAAACGAACAGAAAAACTGAAATTAGTGATTAGTTCTTTGACATTTGAACAGCTTCTAAATTGTCATTTACACACTACATCAATTCTTTCCCTTATTTTTTCTGCTGTTTATATTACGCCTATACTGTTCATATTGTTCTCTGCAAGTTGTCAAGGGCTGCATTGTGGGAAAAATAGAGTTGCCTAACTCCTTTCAGTATGAAGAATATGTCTGTTTTTCTAAGCGAAAAGGAAGAAAGTTTATTTGCATAATTCTCATAAAACTCATCAGATGCCATTTTAGGACCAGACAGGGGCAAAATAATCCCATTACTTACATGTTGGTGTGAAATATGCCTGAGTTACAAACAGGATAAAATTTGGAATAAAATCATGCAGTTTGCTCTCATTATGAGTAGTTCTTTAATAATGTAAATTCTAGAAAAAAAGGAAGTTATAAGTCTTTATGCATCTTATGAAACTAATGGTCTCAGCAGTCATGGGAATGGCTTTTATAGGATTAGCACTTTAGTGATGAGCGTCAATGTCATTAGAATTAAAAAAAAGTTTTGTGATATTCACATAGTGGCTTCACTTCTGAATAAAATATTTTGAACAGTGTTGCACAATATCTCATGTAGATCGCTTAGCATGTGGATAGTGAGTGATAAAGAGATTCAAAGCAGGAAAAGAGTAAAAGGTTCGGTTTCCTCTAATGCTATCCGAGTCAGCCTTAGCTAAAAACCATGCAACAGACCTGATGAGACAACTCTGATCTCTGTGGCATATTGTCTACTTATTAAACTAAGGAAATTAAATTGATGCTATAAACTACTTATCAGCAAAAACTTAATGAAAGAAGTTTAAACAAAATTAAAGACCCCACCTCAGAAATGCTGTGCATTTGTCACTAATTAGAGGCAGTACAGGACAAGAACAACACAGTGAACAAAAGTCGTAGTGGATTTTTTCATTCATCTTGATGAGTCTTTCATCACTAATGAATCATTCTGGATGACTCCCTTTGGTCATTCTTTATCTTTAAATTGTTTAATATGCTTCAGACTCTACCTCTATTATGAAAGCTTTTTACTGAAAATAAAAAATAAGCATATCAGCGAGCACACAAATGATCATTTATTGCACACCAACAATGATGGAGGGCTTTAGCACACCAGATTAGAAGTAATCATACTGATTTTACAGTATTATTTTAAATACTGTGATTGCAGACATTACAGCTGTAATATCATCTCTTTGCTGCTTTAACTTTTAAACCTGTGTGTATTTCTCCACTAGGTACAAGTTGCAATAATTTAACAGTCATCCAGACACCAGAGAAAATATATCTATCAACCGGAGACTACACTGAAATCACCTGTATTTGGGAAAAATCTATCGAGAGGTATAGAGTAAGCTGGTATCTTGTGAATAAAGAGAACATCACCAAAACTATATCATCAGAACTTTTTTATGTATCAAACATCACCCGTGAAAGCAAGGATGTGCTAGTGATAAAATCTGCCAATGTAAATGACACTGGATTTTACTACTGTGAGATAATTATTGAAATACCTTTCTGTAAGAAAGTGTGTGGAAATGGGACAACAGTGATTGTTGAAGAGAAAGGTAAGCTAGCAAGCAGATATGTGTGCTCTTCAACTTGTCACTATAAAGATTCTTCAGTTTGAACTATTTTATACATTTCCTCCCTCTCCCACATCCCGCCCTCAATGCTATGGATGTCAGGATGAAACACAGAGAGAACCTGAACGGCTCTTAATGACAATTAAGACCTCTGCCTTAATACCCCCAGTGTAGTGTTTGGTTTTTCTCTATAAGGGTTTGCTAATAGAGATTATTTTACAAAAAAGCTGTGCATCAGCTGTGTATTTCATAGGAGACCCAAACACAGTTCCTTCTCAGAAGGGATTTGGTAGGCTGGATGTGAGACAGTGAATGAATCTGCCTTGTGGGAAGGAGCAGCTGAAACAATCACATGGTTACTCTGTCCTGTAATATGTACCCTTTACTAACCATTTTCTCTTTTTATTACAAGTTCTTAATAAAAAGCGGGAGATACATCAATATGGAAGATAGAGCAGTATGGGCTCTATATTTATAAGGATTTGTGTCCATAAAGTTGTTGTGACAGAATATTTTATGTAGACTGTGTCTCCTTACTTTGTTATAGGGTAAACTTTACAAGGGAGCAATTTAAGATCCTAATTCTGTATTAAGCATTGAAAAACATTAATACAATGAGTATTCAAACACAATTAAATTTTTCAGCAATAGCAGTGAGGTATGTTTTACCTTAAATTATGAAAAGAATGTGACATACATAGAAAATAATTTACTTTGCTTGTTACACGATTGTCTCAAGACACCGCATCACTACTTGATGATCTCTGCCTCTCTCTCTCTACTTCTAAACTGTAGAGAAAGACTAGAGGACTAGCTCTGACTAGACCTTTAACATTAACAAATATGTCTCGTATTTCAACTGGAGAACTCATGGGAAGTAACCTGTACATTCATCCAGCACAGTCCAGTTTTGGACACTATTTTACACTATTGGCTAACTGGTAGTCCAAAGGAAGGCACAAAAATGATCACAGATTTAGAAAACGTCAGTGGCAGAGAATGAATGAAGTACTGTTCAAAATGGGATAAATTAATGTAAAACTGTTAGAGAGATAAAATAATCTGAGCTTCTAAAATGAGTTGAGTGATTGATCTCTTACTTGGTCAAGTAGTAATAGCCTTAAAGTACAAGCAGAAAGGAGACACCAGAGGGGGAAAACTGTCAAACTGCAGGAGCTATAGGAGGGACTGATGTTACTGTTCATCAGGCATGCATCCCTCAGAAATGGTAAACTTTTTATATAACTTTTTTATATAACTTTTTTTATAGATGACCTTGCACCTGGTTGGGAGGATGGACTGATTCACTCCTGAAGTTACTTTTAATTTTACCTTTTTTTTTTTTTTTTTTTTGCTATGGTGTTGTTCTTCTATTGTATCTTTGTATAGTACATAACTTCATTTAAAATATATAATTGCAGAAGCTCACTCATTGAAAAAAAGAGACTTGGCAATATGGACCGTCATTCCTTTCTTAGTGGTAGTGGGAAGCTTGTATCTTTGCTACAAAAAGAAACAGCACTCAAAACTTGCTGGTGAGTGACAATATTTCCATTAACACATACTCTCTAATTTAGGTGTTTGTTCTGAGATGGCCAGATAGGTGCACTTAAGAGGCATCACTAAGAGGAATTTCAGTGTATAATACTTGCTCACCTGGTCCTGATCTGCTAGGGACACCTCAAGCTGAGAGGAGGGATCAGAGGCGCAGCCTGTAGTTCAAGTGTTCTTGCAGCTATTTACCTCCATTATTTACCTTTCCAAGAAGAATGATCACTTAGGCTGAAGATCTTGACCTGGCTAGCATAGTGAAGGATATAAATTCTGATAATTTCTCAGCAGACTGAAAAAGTGAGGAGCCAAAACTTAGCTCTGCATCATGGTCTTACTCCTGGTAGTGACACCTGGAAGTGACATTTGAGAGACCCGGCCTTGGGGACTTTGTTCTGAGCTGTTTTTCAAGCTGTGAATTTTTTTAACTAAGTATTAGGTTTTGGTTTTTGCAAAAATCCTGAAATGAAGGATGGAAAAAGTCACAAGAAAAAAAACAGTGAATGGCAAGGGTACAGGACAAGCATAAATGTAGGACATCTGTGGGCAGTGGGTACAGAACAGTGACATAACCTAAGGCACCCTCCTAAGTAACTGTAGAATGAGAATTATGGTTGGAACGTGAGGCTTAGTTTGTGAACTGCTGGGGATATAGGTGCAGTATCTATGACTTGAGATGCAATTCAACTTGCAGATTAAAAAAGCAGGGGGAGGGGATTTAGACAAGTGAAGTCCCTAAGCTTCTATTTCAGTCACTGGAGTCCACACAGGCAACTGCTTGGTATGATCTGGTTTAGGTGTTTACTTAAGGGTGAGCTGATCAGTTCTCTTGATCAGCTTTCATGGCACAAACTCTGTTGACCGGCTCTCCATCGCATGAGGGCTGTTTGGAAACGTGAAGATAGTTAATTTCATCTGCAAGCTGAATGCTGCTCTAGCGCCTGTCATCAAACCTAGCTACACAAGGACTCTGCACTCTCCATTTCAGAGCTTCATGGAGCTCTGGTAGGGTACCACTGTGACTCTGGAGATGGACAGTGAGCAAGCAGTGACTGTACCTTGGTTTTTGCTAAGGTTCTGCACAACTCGCCAGAAGGCATCGGGAGGAGCAGATGCTTGAGGTTTCAGAACTTCATGGGACAAATGAACCCACCAATGAAGCAGCTGGGGAAAACTCATCATGTAATTCTGCTGGATGGGTAAGTGGTTTATAAAAAGGCTCTTCCTATGAAAGAAGGACTTTCAAAATGGGGCACTAGGGAGTGTGCTGAATGGAAAGCACAAAACAAGCTGCTGTTCCTAGGATGGCATCTTGCCACACATGAAAAAGGTTTAAGGCAAAGAAAATTAAAAAAAAGTTTTCTTGCAAGAGGCAACACTTGGAAATGAGGAAAAAGATATTTATATAGTAGGGAAGTATTGGATTCTGTTGTTATATTTAAGGACATTCTAAAATTGACTGGAGGAGAGGGCAGTGAAAAGCTCTATCAGTATAGAGCTTGAGTGAAAGAAGTGTGGAAGTAAAAAATGGCAATAAAGTCCCCTTACATATAATTGTATGTCAAGGTCAAGGGGCTTGGGCCATCTTCAACTCACAGGGCAACACTTGCTGAGAGCAGGTAGCAGATTTCAGGCAAGCTCCTTTTCCCAGGAAGTTATTAATCTTTTAATTACATTAAAACATAAAATGAGCATGGAAAGGAAGCTCTAATTTAACTCTTGCATAGGCAGGTGCTACTTTCATTACAGCCAGCTGGACAGGCTTGGACAAGCCACACAGGTGATGTAAAATGCCAAAGCCCATAGTCACAGTTATTGATCTTACAGATTCCTGAATTCTCCTGTTAGAGAATCTGGATTCAATCTTCATTTGGTCATACTGGTACTGAAATCATGGTGAGAGAGAATATCAGGATGTAGGTAGTAAAACAGTATCTATCTTATATTGTGCAATGGTCATCATTCTAAAAATCCAACATGTATAGCTGGGAAAATTCATTCTCTGTAATATGTAGATTCCCACTGAAGCTGGGACTTGCCATAGTAGAAAATTTTAAAAGTACAACTCATGAGATGTTCTGGTTATAGTAATAAAATATTCTAATTACTAGTTATAAATGGATAACTCTTCTGCTTGTTAATATTTAATGAAGACAGAAGAAAACAAGGTTGAGAATGAGAAAGCAAGCTTTACAGGTGGTGCAGAGTGAAGGGTTCATTAGTAGCCATTAACTGCTCGGGGTTTGTATGGACAACAGGACTCATCCAGAGAATGTGTGAATATAATTATAAAAGGTCGTTTGTTGCTGCTTTATAATTTACCAGCTGTTAGCCACAGTGACATGTCATGATATAGGTCCAGTGTTTTCTTTCATGTAACAGACCTTTTTACTATTTTAATGAAAGCAGAAAGAGTGATTTCACAGCGGTATCATTTTAAGTGTTAAAGCATAATTGGATCTTATAAATCATTCAAGAGATCCAGTAGATTAGTAAAGTCAGTATATACAATGTGCATGGCCACTATATTTCAAACAAATGAAGCCAGTAGTCATGAGCAAATATTATGGTGTCTCTGGAGCTGCACGCATTGCCTTTCAATTGTGTTACAGAACATGATCAGGTTTGTGTTTTGGTTTCTGGGTTGGTTTTTTTTTTCTGTTGTGAAAAAGTAAGTAAGAAGTTGATGCTAGTTTTTTATGTTGCTTACACTTTTTTGTTATCTTGGAAATTTGCTGTACATTCTGGGTATGTTTAGGCACCATTTCTAGAACAGCAAAGGTGAAGGTTTTGTACACCTCTGCAAGGCTACTTACAGTTTCCAATTTATGTCATTTTTTTCCAATTCTTGGGGTTGCAAAGGCAATTTTGTATCACAAAACTTGAATCAAGGAATGGATTTTATTCTCACCTGTATTGTATGTCATAACCACACCGAGCAATTAGGTCAGGTGACAACACATAGATCCAAGCATCTAAGTTAGTTTAACCTGAGAGTGAACATCCTCATGGCAAGGCTGGCCTCTCTGGCTGTGCTTTTACTGTATAGCAGTTGTCTCTAAGTCTTTCTGGAGATTCATCCCATATTTCCTGAGTTGAGATGCCCATGGAGTGTTTCCCAGACAGTGCTGCTAGCTGCAGGGGAATTTGGCCCTTGAGGGAATCCTTGGAGCAGTTGATGATTTTTTTCATTGCTGAGTTCTGCAGGTTCCAGTCCAAATCTAAGCACTGCTGTAGCATTAAATGCAAACTTTCAGCTCATGACACCACAAAAAAAGCACAATCCCAAGGGGCTCTAGTTGTGCAAAAATGCATAGAAGCGTCATCCAGATTAGTTGGCCATACCTACCATGCCTTCTGTTTGACACCCAGCCAGCAGGTATCTCTCTCAGTTCTGAACATCCTTCGTTAAAACAAGAATAGTAAACCACCACAGGAAAGTATAAATGTGAAGACAAAGAGCTACCACTTCATGACTTCCACCTTTTCATTTTTTTTATGCCATGTCAGCTTGCGAATTTGATTTGATATGTCTGTGAGCTTTGTGCACATTTCAGGGAGATCTTTAACTCTCAGGTTTTGCTAAAGGATTTAGCTGAAGATCCCAAATCCTACATGTGCACAGTCCAGAATAACATCTGAATACTGCAGCAGTTTGCTACTTTACTGCTTGAAAAGGGCATCCATCTAGAAGGAACAGTGTGATAAAGCTTTTTGGAAATATTGAAGTTAAATGATTAAGGGGATAAAAAAGCTTTGCCATTTCAGATTTCATAGAACCTGGTTGATACTGGAACTTGACATCTTCGGTATTCTAAATTAGTACTTTGCAGCTGGTACCTAATTAACTAAGAGAATTAAATCCAAACATAGGAAGACTTTGCCTTTCAGTGGTAGTACTGAGACATTCATTCCCTCTGAAATTATAACTCCAGGGCCTGTGTTTCTCTCTTCCCTCAGGCTGTGATAGATGTGTCTTGGGTAGAAGTTCATTTTAAATAGGTTTTATGGGTAGAAGTTATTTTGACTGGCGTTTTCTTTGCTTTTTTAAGGTTGTGTCTACACTTTATGAATCACTTGATACTTTTCGCAATGAATCAAGAGGAAAAGATGACAAATCCACTGCAACTATTGTATTCAATGCAGCAGATGAGCAAATCCCACAAAACAGGGGAACTGGAAAGTCTAGAACAAGACAAGGATCCACCATCTACTTTGACATTCAGAACTAAAAGGATGACATCATAAATAATATATGTCTACATACCTATGAAACTGAAAACAATATGTTAATTTGCTGCTGAAGGATGGATTACATTAATTTCCTGTCAGTATTATGTCAGTCAGACAATATACAAGAAAAAAAGATTGGTTTCAAGAAATCTGTGAATGTTTGGTCACTAACAAAACACTGCAAGGAGTCTGAATTTGGAAGGCATGTCATTTTAGATGACTGTCTTCAACACTTCCCTCCATGTCCAGAGATAATAAAGGATGTATTATCATCCTTCGAAAATTCTTCCAGACTGAACAATGTTCTCCAGCAAAAATCTTTCTTCAGACAGCCCATGTATAAATAGCAGAAGGTAGAGAGAAAATGCACATGGTGGTAATCGTTTGACCAAACAGACTACTGTCTACCAAATAGTACTACACATAGAATGGAGTCTTGATCTTTGAAACTATCATCAATGCTGACCACATCATAGCCACAGTGGTTTGCCAGAAAGGATTATATTGCTGTGTAAAGTGGCTTTTAGTGTTAATTCATTCACACACTATCAAAAGTCTTCCAGAGAACGTAGTCTCCTATGCACAGTGAAATACTAGGTTTAAATGAAGCTACATGTATTATTATTATTATGTACAATTATTGTCTAACTAGTGGAGGAGGGATGCTTGGAGGGGATGGGAGGGTTAACACTTGTTCCACTTTTGCCAGCTCTAAAACTTTCTAAAAAAATCGCTGAAGGAAAAATCAAAACTGAATATTTAAGTAAAACCTGGCTTCCAAGATCTGAACAGAGGTGAAGAGTATTGACAGCAAAGCTAACAGCAGTCATCCAAGGACTGCTGAATACTCAAAGCAGATATCCGAAATGTGAATGTGTTTATGTACCAGGGTTATTTCATCTTCTGTTAATGATTTTTCATAGTTTAGCTGGAGGTTAGATCATCTTGCCAGCAAGAAACAACTTCACTGCTCAAGAGATTTGTTACAGCTTGCACTTGGGCATTGCAGCAGACACAGACTGGCTTTCCCAGAGCCCTTGAGAACAATTTGCATAGTCTAAATGTGTGACTGTCTTGTTACTCAATATTCTGTAATAAAATCTTTGAGGCCATACAGCATGGCTTATGCTCTGGCTCTGTCTATGCTGTAGTGACTACAGCTTGCAAAGCTACCTCTCCAGTTACCTCTCAGCAATGGCTCACTCTTTGGTGTGAATCCTCTTTCCTGGGCTGTTCTGTAACCTGCCCTGAGTGCCCTTCTGCAGTGAATATACTGCTGTCTGAAATCCACTGTAATCACTGCACTGTAAGCATACCCTGTATGAGAGAAACTATTTGCTAAAGTACATCTCATTACATTTATGTATATATTGGATTTCTTCTCTTCCTTCCTTCTTAAAGTTCAGTCACTTTAAAAATCTTGATAGTCTTTGTTCTGAAAATAATTATTACAGATTTGTTTCCTATACTGCAATGTGCCATATTCCTTTGAGGATAACAAATGAGACTGGATTTCCACAAGCCCTCTAACTCTGTTCCCTGCACAAGAAAGTAATAATCAGTAAAAGGGGTAACGACCTTCGACCCAGGTCTCTCAGCAAGGAAGCTCTCAGTTATGCACCAGTGCTGTGAGTACAGTAAATTTTGGTCTTTCCATATATTACTGGTTACTTCTCTATTTAAGCACAATGAGGAGATGTAGAGTATTCAGGAAACTGTTAAAGGAAAACCACTAAATGAAGAGATTGCCACCAAGTCACAGTTTAATAGTGTCCAAATCATATTGTCATTACAATACTATCAATACATTTTTGATGAAATGTGGTTCCTACCAGCAAAGAATGCTGCCATATTAACAGCTGGTCATATTTCGTATGCTAACATGGTAATTTCCAACATCTGGCAGTTGAAGACTACACTCAATTTATCATGACCTATGGCTGACAGTGTCTGTGAGCCAGCAGAACATTTTCAGAGCTCCCACTGATTGTCCTACTCCGTCAACAGGAGTCTGACACCTATGCATCTTGTATATCATCTCTGCTTCTGTACCACTTGGGAAACAACAAACCCTATAAGGATTTTCCATGGCAGGCAGACTTCTGCTTTTTCTTCTTCATGGTTATTTTGATAGCTTTAAAACAAAAAAGATCTTTGTAATTAACCTCAGCACACATTCTAGTGTCCAGTATCATCTCGTTTTTAACTGTTTAACTGTTCAGTATATAATGAAAACCATCTGCCTAATAACAGAACTTGAAGAGAATCCTGGGCCTTTACTTCTAGCCAGTTTTGGTGGTTATTTCCTCTGGAAGAGGCTGCTGCAAAGTGATGGTTCCATTTCACTTTAATTTGAGGTTCAAAGTCCTGTGTTAAGCACACACTAAAATGCGCTAATTTAAAAGAGAGACTAGCACAATGTTTTCTAAAGCCCTGTATGTGTTCTGCTGTGCTTTTAATGTCTCATCAATGTACTTCACTTAGTCATAGTCTCTAAAAATGAGGCTCACTCTCTGTTTCTGTCATGTTCACAACCCTGTTTTGGAGAGCTAGTACAGCCAACTTCAGACTATGGCCCTGAACTCTCTCTCTTCCTGCTCCATTGCACAATGATCCAAGGAGTTACAGCTTAGTTAATCTACCTAGCACTTAGGCACCTAGTCTTAGCAACTGGGTACAGATTCTTTCAGTCTGACTTGAACCACAGTTTTTTTGAGCCCTGGGTTGGGTTCTTTCTTCTCATAGTACCTGTGGAAGAAGAGTACGGAGCAGGTATTCCTGGCTCCATTACATCTAAGATCTTCAGCAGCAGGCAGGATGATGAGATACCCCACCCAACACATTGGCAAACTAGACATGTTTGTGTGTGATGCTATGACTAATAATATCATGCCTGATAACGGTGCTGTCAGAACAGCAATGACATTTACATGGCTGACTGAAATTTGTTTGAAACCTGATTTTATCTGAAGTGGTTTCTCTGCACTGCTGACATCAAGAACCACTGCAGAACTGCCACTGTTCTCAAAAACTCAACAGCTACAGCCTAGGCTTAAATAGACTTAAGGATTTCTTCACTCAACTACTTAAGAACACTCTCAGTTTAAAAACTTTCCTCCATTAGGCTGGTGCAACTCTGGAGACAGGCTAAATCTATAAAGAAAGTGTGATCTATGCGAACAGGGTGGGTTTTGTTTGAATTGTAATTCTTGCCTAGTCCTCAGCATTGCTAGGGAAATAAAAGTTGAAATCAGTACTCTGCCTGAGCTAAAGTGTTTTTACCTGCTTCTCTATTAAAGACTGTGATCTTCAAATAGATCCCAAATTTAAGGAAAAATACCACTTGATGGGGAATTGAAGTGTGTCATGGGGTCCACAGGGTCCATGTTTCCACTAACCTAAAGAGATTGCTATGTTGGTTTTATTCTGCCTTGAAGAACTGGGCTTTCAAACTCAAATGCAATTTTTTATGCTGCATCTACTTCACCATCAGACTCCAAATCAAGATATATTGCCACATCCTCTGTAAGTAACAGCAGAAATAAACTAGAGAGTAAATCTATAAGATGATGGGATGTGACAGATGATCAGAATTTATTTTTTCCATCAAGCTTATTGTGGGTAGTTATAATGAGGGCAGCTGTAAAGCGGTTTTACAATTATTATTTCTTTTAATAAGCTGTCGTGTCTCTGTATTTCATAAACAAGAAACTGCAATGCAACTGACAAAAGAATACTCAGATCAAAAGAGCATTAACCGATTTCTCTGACCAAGAGAAAACACAGGTGCTAATACATAAATGGTTCTCATTTCCTACCTGATATGAAATACTGAGGTGGGAGGAAGGATTCTGATGAACTACTACATTCTAGGAACAAGGCTTTGGCTGTGTTGCTGTGTTCTGGTGATGGGTGCTGGTGGATTTTGTTGGTTGATAAGATGTGACAATTAATTCCTTGTCCTTTTTCTGGAGCAGACCCAGTTGGCAGGACTCAGCAACATCTTATACAGCTAGAATTGCTCTTACCAAAGTTACTTCATAACTTTGTCTTGGGAAGTATTCAACTCCACAGAGGTAGAGGAGTATAAAAAGGATAAGGCAGAGAGAAAGTAAGTATTTAGCATTGTTAGTGGACTAAAGAGAGACGGAGGTTAGACCTATAACTAAAAAATGTAAGGGTTCAATATAATAAGAAGTAATCTGACCTGTCATGTGCATCTGCTCTGAAATGCTCTATGTTCTGTTACCTGCTGATGTGCTTGTCTTGTCCTAAACTGAATGATTGGCTCCATGAGGTAGGAATGCTCTATCTGTACATTGCAGGGCATAACAGGATTGCAGTCCACAGCTGGGGCTTCTGAAACTGCTGTGGAAATAAAACATGCAAGTTTTTTTTTTTTTTTTTTTTTTTTTTTACTTTATAGCTTTTAATTCTGGAAAGAGGAAAAACAAGATAAGCATTTCTAATGAAGACGGTAGAAAAAGGTCAGGTATTAAGGTGGCAGACACCAAAAATACCAGTGGGCTGATGCGGTTTGCTCAGGTAGAATAACTTCCATTTCTCAGTTTAGCAGCTGTACAATATGAAATACAATTTGTCCTTTTAAATTTATTTTTAAATACAGACTAAGCTTAACCTAAAAACTCTAGGTCTAATCTAAACAGGGACTGCTATTGAGCAAGAGAGGAAATGGAAAGAGTAGCTACCATTTCATTCAAACTCTTCAGGGAAAAAATGAGCCAGTTGCCTCTGGGTAGAAGGAATAGCAACTGGTTTCTCATCTCACCTTCAGATCTGCAGTGTGGTAGTGATACAGAGAAAGGATTACTTGTTTTGAGACTTATTTACCTATAGCAAACTGCTTAGCAACTTACTTATAGCAACTTGTAGAATTACATATAGTATTTTTGATTATTACTAAGAATCCTGCTTGCCCCGACTGTTCTGTGGAATTTTAGCAAGGACTACTGTGTTCATCAAAACAAAGCAGTTTACTGTGAAAATCTACCAAGAACTGCAGTGTTCAGCAAAATATCATGGTTTTGTCCTTGGGAAACAGATGTGCTCTAACTAGTTGGGTTTTGGTAATGAGTAAAGATAGCTATATATGGATTGTAGAAGTACCTTTGGTTCTCTTAGATAAGATAGAATGAGTAAACTGGCTGAAAAACACTCTT